AAAAAAAAAAAAAAAAAGCAGCCATAGACAATATGGAAACAAACAACGTTGGCTGTGTGCCAATAAGACTTTATTCACAGACACTGAAATTCAAACTTCATGTAACTTTCACCTGTCATGGGGCATTATCCTTCTTTTGACTTTTTTATTCAACAAGTTTAAAATGGGAAAACCATTCTTAGTCCATGGGCTGTACCAAAGTAGATGGTAGACCAAATTTGGCCCACGGGGCCACAGTTTGCAAATCCCTGCTTCAGAGCAGGCAGCTAGAAGATGCTTCTCCCAAGAGAATGGGGATCACTGTAGGGCCTAGAACACAAGTCCCTGGCACATAGTACGTATTCAGTGTGTATTTGTTGAAAGAGAGAAAGCAGGGAGGGAAGGAAAGGGGCAAGGAATGAGGGTGCTGGGGCTCCTACAAGCTGAATTCCTGGCTCAGGGCCCTAGGCTGACATGACCTCACCTGCTGTCTCCTCTTGGGTTGCGAGATCATTTCCTTCCATTTCCTCAGGGCCTCTCTGCAGGCTCCCCAAGCAAAGAGGTGTTGACAAAGCCTTTGAAATGCCCAGGAGCTCAGAGCCTCCTTTGCAAATTTAGGAACAGGCATGGAGGAGCCCTCCCATAGAACCCACTGAAATCAAGTCAGTGTCTCCCGCGACCTGAAAAGCTTCCATTGTCTACCCCAGACACAAATCCAGAAACAAACACACACAGCCACAGCCCAAAGTCCACTTGTGCCCCATCCCCAGCTTAACAACCCACAAGGGCCACTAATCTGAATTTTTAGCTTAGGTCCCCACTCAGAAAAGTCATTTGCATCCCCCCTGCAGGCCCCTGGCTGCTCTATTAATCTCCCCATTTGTCCCCTCCTGTGTCATCTAATATTACTGCTGGCTAAGTAAAACATCAAAGCCCAAGTACAGCAGCCCTGCCAGAGGCCTCCTAATGCCTGGTTTCAAGTGGGCAGTTCACACAGCCTGGGGTGCGGAATGGCACACCTCGCGCCTGAGCCCCCGGTTACTTGTCTCGTAATGACCACCCCTCACACATCTGGACCCTCAGCACGTGGCCTCTTTTACTGCCTGTTATCTCACTCCCTCCACCCTGCCAATGATGGCTGCCGGCTGCCTGCCCACCGGCCACACCCCACCCCTCTCTTCCTCCCTCCTTGTCAGGCTCCCCACCCTCCTGCCCTCCTGTCACCTCCACGGGTCCTGGGCCCGACCCCACCACCAACGCCATGTCTGTTATCCCCACTGTGGGATTCCAGCTGCCCCTCAACCTCCAGGGTGTTAAAAGAGAGTTTCTAAACGGGCTAAGTGACGCCCTGCCTAGGGAGGACGGCTGGGGTGCCTCCCACGCGGGAAAGGTAGGATTTTATTTTCTCAAGGATGCAGGTCATCGGCACAATCAGAGGAATTTGTCACCACAAAGGCCTGCCCAGAGGTGCCCTCCATCACCTGGGCATCTGCTGGAAGACACAGGAGTGGAAATAGAATCCGAAACAAAGAAGCTTTAGGTTGTCTGGACGGGCCTTCCAAGGAAGTGGAGTTTGGACGTGGCTTCACGTGGGGACATGAGTAAACTAACTTAAGAGTTTAGCAGGATAGAAGGGCAAGTAGGGAATTTGCCTATTCCCTGTTAGGGAGTTCATCTACATCATTCTCCTGCTCCCGGGGTGGCACTACAGCAGTAATGCTTATAGCAGTAGTCGTTGTAACAGGACTACAAGTTTTACTAGTAGCAGAATAATGACACCAATAGTGATGAAGAATGGCTACCATTTAGGAGACTGTTGCAGTCACCCCAATGAAAGATGATGGAGACTTGGACAGGGTGCTGGCCAGTAGATGGAGAGAAAGGGGACCAAATGGATTCTAGAGTTATTTAGAAGGCTAAAATGGATGGGAGTCGGGGATGGATTGGGGGGTGGGAGATAAAGAGGATGATGTCCAGGAAGCTCCTCCCTGTGGCATATGCACAGGTGGTGATGGATGGTGGTGCCCAACACTGAGATGGGAGCCACTGGGGATGACTGGGTCTGGCCAGAGCAGGGAGGTGTGGGAGATCATGAGTACCTTGATGTGGGAGATCATGAGTACCTTCCCGTTGTTCTCTGCCATGGCTCCCTGCACTGTTCTGACATGATCTTTACCAGTGACATGCTGTCACCTGCCTCCTGTTCCCCAAACTCCAACATGGCAGCATGGACGCTTTAGCACAGAGCTCCTCTTCCTTGGCCAGAAAGGTGGCCATGCCTCTCACTTCTCTGCCAGCAAGACTGTGCTCCCACTTCTTTGCCTGGTGAACACCTACTTATCCTTCGGGTCTTGACTTAGAAGTCAAATACTCTGGGTCAGGCGCCTCTTCTGTGTGTTTCCACAGCCCCCTACACACTGCCAACGTCCCGTGTTATGGCATCCAGTTCACTCAATTATAGTGGTTCATTAAATCACCATCCCCACTGGACTGTGAACTCCATGAGGGCACAGATCACATCTGTATGTTTGTCACTGTAGCCCTGGCCCTTACTGACTTGCCTGGCACATAGGAGATATTCAATAAACATGTGTTGAATGAATGAATGAGTGCGTGAATTGTGCATGATCGTCAAGAGGCAGGATAGTCAAACAGTTAAGGGCATGGTTTCAAAGGCCAGACTGCCAGGCTTTGACTCCTGGCTCCAGCTTACTAGCTCTGTGGTCTTAGACAACTTAGTTAACCTCTCTGTGCCTCAGTTTCCTCATCTGTAAAATGGGGATGATGTTGCTTGGAACATAGCAAGTGCTCATTGAATGCTAGTTTTCAGTAGTTGTCCTTCAGAGTTCCCTGTGATTTCTGTCCTAGGCTTAACCTGATTTAATCCTAATTCACAGCTCCCTGCCAGCCTGAGCACCTCCAGGCTGATGAGATGTGGACCCTGCCTCCTTTCTGACTTCATCTCCTTTTACTCATCCTCACTCATCCACTCCAGCCACACTGGCCTCCTTGCTGGTCCTTTGAACTGAGCAAACTCATCCCTACCTCAGGGTCTTTGCACTTGCCTCTTTCCCCTCCACTTTGTCACCATTACCTCCCTCTATATTATATTCTTATCACCACCTGAAATTATATCATCCACATATTAGCTTACTTATTATTTACCTCTGCTTCTCCCAAAACGATGCTCCAGAAGGACAAGGATCCTGACTGCCTTGTTCACCTCAGTGTCCCCAATGCCTAACGGTGTCTAGCACGTAGTAGGTGCTCAGTAAATACAATTTGAATGTGTGAATGCCCTGCCTCAAGGTCACTGCCCGCTGCTCTACTCTTTGGCCTGAGTGACGCAACATTGTCTCATCTTCTGCCCTCCGTCGCTCGGCCGTTGCATCGGGGTGTGCCTGCTGCCTGTCTGACGCACGAGCACACCTCTGCCCAGGCAGGTAGACAACCACTCAGAAACACCCAAGACAGAATATGATCCTTATCGATGAAGTTCAGAATGGATGGGCCAACATTTGTCAGCCCAGGCTTATCCCTGCTCACCTACTGGACAGTTTGCTTACAGAGGTGAAGATAAATGGAGCACTGAAGACATTCAAGATGGAGAGAACAGGGGCTTCCCTGGTGGCGCAGTGGTTGGGAGTCTGCCTGCCAATGCAGGGGACACAGGTTCGTGCCCCGGTCCGGGAAGATCCCACATGCTGCAGAGCGGCTGGGCCCATGAGCCATGGCCGCTGAGCCTGTGCGTCTGGAGCCTGTGCTCCGCGACGGGAGAGGCCGCAGCGGTGAGAGGCCCGTGTAAAAAAAAAAAAAAAAAAAAAAAAAAAGATGGAGAGAACAGTAAGCGCAAAGGCCTGAGGCAGGGATATGTTTGGCCTTTTTGAAAAGCAGAAACCTGAAATCGGGGGAAAGTATTCTATGCTTCAAACCTTTCTCACATAAACTTTTTGTTTTCCCAGTACTTGCCCGGAATGGTGAGTTCGGGCTATGGCAGGAAGGCCCAGAAATCCAAGTAACTTGACCCAGCCTCAGGTTTGATTCCTCCGCCCTGAGGGCTGTTATCATTTGAAGACACTGACAGTGTTCTTTCAGTCACTTATTCATTCCACAAACTTTCATTAAGTCCCTGCTAATGTGCCAGACCCTGTGCTAGACTCCAGAGAGACCACCTTTGAGTTCCTGAGCCCTCTCCCCAGAACAGAACCTGAAACATTCTTCCACGGTGCCTTCTTCTGCACAGGTAGAGGGACCAGGTTCCCAGCTACCTTGTATGTGTCCATCCCAGAGAGTCACGGACAGTTGGTGACTGGCGACAGATTCCAGGAAGAGCATCACCTCTCCCCATCCCAATGGAAACAATCTTCCAGTGCCCTCAAATGCATAATATTTCATCTTTTTTCTCTCCTCCAGCCCCCTGCCTCAGGAAAACAGTCTCCCATAAAGAATGGCAGCCCCTCCAAGTGCCCTCGTTTCCTCAAGGTCAAGAACTGGGAGACCGATGTGGTTCTCTCTGACACCCTCCACCTTAAGAGCACGTTGGTGAGTACCCCAGCAAGGGGGAGACCAGGGTTTCTCAACCCTAGCAATATCCACACATGGGACTGGGTAATTCTTATCGTGGGGACCAACCTGTGCGTTATAGGATGTTGAGCATCACCCCTGACCTGTGCCAGCCAGATGCCAGTACCCCCCCACACCAAGTTGTGACAACCAAATATGTCTTCAGACATTACCAGATGTCCCCTGGGTGGGAAATTCACCCCCATTTGAGAACCACTGGTGGATACTTACTTGTGCAAATGCTTTTTATTTGCGTCCCCTTGTACTCAAAAGGGGAGTTGCTGGTTCTAAGTACATTCTTTTTCTCTCACACAGTCCGACCACTGATGGAGTTTTGGACAAACCCTTCTTGGTTTTCAGTCTGTCCTCTAAATTTTATATATTTTTCAGTCAATCAACCAATCTGTTATTTTACATTGTTCTGGAAAATGGGCCTCTTGGAGGAATGTTGTATCAGTTAGCTATTGGAGTGTAACAAACTTCCCCCAAAATTAGTGACCTAAAACAACCACCACTTATTATTTTCCAAAAGTCTACAGATGGGCTGTGTGGTTCTGCTGATCTCATGCTTCTGCGATCATCTGAGGGGTCAGCTCTCGGCAGGCTGGTCTAGGATGGCCCTGGCTGGGATAACTCAGCTCTGCTCCATGTGGCCTCTCATCTTCCAGCAAGCTAGCTTGGTCTCCTTCACATGCTGGTTGCAGTGTCCTGAGAGAATGAGCAGAAATGTGTAAGATCTCTTGAGGTCGGGACTCAGAATAGCCACAGTGTCACTTCTGCCATATTCTGTTGGCCCAAACCAGCCCAGATTCAAAAGGAGAGGGAAGAGGCTTTACCTCTTGATGAGAATTGCTGTAAAGTCACATAGCAAAGGCTGTGAATACAGGGAGGGGAGGAATTAGGGCTATGTTCTGCAGTCAACATCCCACAGACACATTCTGCCTCCTGTTCCCCAATCACTCTACCAGCTCCTTCTTGATCAACATGGGATCAAAACATATTGGGGGATTCAGCACCAATGGTTCTGCTTCCCAGGGAATGACAGTCACAAAGCCCCTCTCCCCCCAGTTAAGTAGAGCAAACACATTCAGGACCTTAAAGTGATGCTTGCCCTTTCCTTACCTGGGCTGATAACCAGGTCCAACAGTGATTAGAAGCTGGTATGTGAGAAATCCGCTTTGGGAATTAAAGCCGGGGAAGCTCCACCATGAATGTCAGATCCAGGTCCACAACCCTACACGTGCCACAGTTGGGTGAAATGAAGTAATAGCCCAAATCTCTTTTCCTTCCAGGGAACGGGATGCACCGAGCACATCTGTATGGGGTCCATCATGCTTCCTTCTCAGCAAATACGAAGGCCTGAAGACGTCTGCACAAAAGACCAGCTCTTCCCTCTTGCCAAAGAGTTTATTGATCAGTACTACTCATCAATTAAAAGGCAAGTTCATGTCTACACTGGGAAGACCGGGTACTGGGTACAAAGACTTCAGGTCCAAATGTGCAGACAGTTGAACCAAGACCTGAGCATAAGGCCTCTGCCTGCCATGCACAGAGGTCAAAAACTGGTGGCCCAAGGGCCAGATCTGGCCCCTAGAAGTGTTTTTGTTTAGCCTGCAAAGTGTTGCTTAAATTTGAAACTTTTCAAGCAATTCCACGCCTGGGTATATTCCCTAAAGAAACTCTCACACTTGTTCACAAGAAGGCCTGCATAAGAATGTTCACTGAAACATTGTTAGAATAGGAAAAAAAATTAAAGAGCCAACTGGAAACAATCTCAACTCCATTGATAGGAGAATGTGTAAGTAAACTGTGGCATTTTCTGTAATGGAATACTATACAGCTATAAACATGAACAGGTTAAAACTCTGCATGTTCATGGAAATGAAGCTCCTAAATAACTTTGAGCAAAGGAAGAAAAGGACAGGCTGTAGAAGGATACGTTCAGAACAGCCCCATTTACATAAACTTTTTAAACATGCAGAAAAATACTATACGTGATTTAGGGGATAGATACACAAGTGGCAAAAATATAAACAAAAGCATGAGAATGCTAAATGCCACATTCAAAACAGCTGTCACTCCTGGAAAGAAAGTGGGCTACAGTGCAGAGTAGTCCCCAAGGAACTATAATATATTTTCTTATTTATTTATCATCTCTTAGGCTTGGGACATGGGTATTCATTACATTATTCTCTATACCTTTTTTTAAGCCTGAACCTTTTCATAAGAATTTTTTAACTTTCTAAAATTCAGTTTATTGCCACCATTTAAAAATTAGAAGAGTTGCCTTTAAAAATCAGATTTCCAGTTTCTCTTGAAAGAAGATCTGGCAGTACCAGGCCCCCATTCCTATCAGACAACAGCAGGCTAGAGCAGAGTTGGGGCTGCCCCCTTTGGACCAGGCATAGGCTCACCTGTTTGCTGCAGTCCCCATCCAGCCAGTTCAGTCCTATGTACACTGCCGGGCCTTTGTAGGCATTTGAGTTTGCCAGTCTCTGCTTTATGTTGAAACTGTTGTGTCCAGATATCAATCCAGACTCTGTGGCTTCTGGCCTCCTGTAATAGCTCACTCCTTCCACCAACCTCTAATTTAGTAGAGAGGGTGATGCTGCCATGTCTCTTCTCTCTTCCCTCAGATTCGGCTCCAAAGCTCATATGGAGAGGCTGGAAGAGGTGAGCAAAGAGATCGAAACCACCAGCACCTACCAGCTCAAGGACACAGAGCTCATCTACGGGGCCAAGCATGCCTGGAGGAATGCCTCCCGCTGCGTCGGCCGGATCCAGTGGTCCAAGCTGCAGGTGAGCAGTCAGGCTCAGATACTATGAAGAGCCCTTTGGTGGGGTTGCCGGGGGAGGAATGAGCTTTAAAAAGGGTCAGCTCCTAGCAAGGGCACTTGGTGGCTGTGGTGAACTCTCAGATGGTGATCACGGGGTCCCAAATTCTCAGATCACGACTGAATCTGGCTTATATCTTATTTAGCCCAAACAATCTTTTTAAAAAATTGAATCTGATGTCTCTAGGTAGGGCTTATACTCTCCAGTTTACTACAGACCCCTCTTGCCCCTTTTGTCTTATACCTCCTCTCTTTCCTTATTTCCATTATCTGCCTACTCCCTAAAAGCATTAGATTCTGTGTCCCCTGGTGTGATTTCTTTTCCTCTAGGGAATAGTTTCATTTTGGAAGTAGATTAGTTATCAGTCTCGGGGGTGGCGGATGTGGGGGCGGGGTGTCTGGTTTTTTTGTGGTTGTTTTATTTTTAAGTTCCTAATCTCTAGGAACCTCATAGGAGATACAGGCAGCCCATTTAAAGTCCCTCCTCTGCTCAGCATCTCTTTCCTACGTTCACTTACAGTCCATGCCTACTTTTAGGGGATTTTTCCTGGTTTGATTGGCCATAGTTATTAGAAAAAAAAGATAAAACCCAGCCCGGGGCTCAGTAATGAGATGCTCACTACTCCAGGAGCGCAGCAGCCGGGGTGGGCTCTGGGCGCTCCTCCATTGGGAGGGCTGCTCTGGGTGTGATGAATGGGGAAGGAGGAGGTGATCACTCCCACGATATACCCGTTGCAGGTGTTCGATGCCCGCGACTGTACCACGGCTCACGGGATGTTCAACTACATCTGTAACCATATCAAGTATGCCACCAACAAAGGGAACCTCAGGTGAGCTGACCCGCTTAGGGGAGTGGAGTCTGATGTCCTCCCATTGTTGACCCTTGGGTCTGGCGTTCACCCCCCTGTGAAGGAAATGCTCCCCCTCTTTTCCCGGGGACAGGTGTCAAGCCGAGAGAGGTAGCCTGGCATCCTCGTTCTAACCAGCATGTGCCTTCTCTCCCGGGAGAAACAGACTCCCGTGTGGTTTGCAAGACTACAGCGACCAGAATCATGTTTATCCCACAGTTCGATATCACCCACGGAGGAAACAGGAAGGGATGTTTCAGATTCCCAGGAATAGGAAAATCCCATTGCCGGTGGTGACCTGCTTTTACCAGCTCCTGCTCTGTTGCCTGGAGCCGCCTCTGAGGCTCCCTGGGTTTAAAAGGCAATTTCTCTTCCCGCTGCTGTGGGGACCACCGTTTCTGGTTCCACCAAGCTGAGCCGCACCTGGGACTCCTCTTGCCCCCCGCGAAGAACAAAGCCACAGGATACAGGCCAAGGCAGGAAGGCGCCAATGTGAGCTGGTGGCTTCCACACTGGCAAGTCTCAGCTGGGAGAGGAGCAGCTAGAAGGGAACAGCTGGGGCCCCCGCAGACAGGCGGTGACAGTTGTTAATCCTACTCCCTCAGTCCTGCCCCTGCATCTGTTCCCAGCAGCTGAGGACCAGCCCCATCTTGGGGCCATGCAGGACCACTGCAGGGATATTCCCACAAGCCCTCAGGCTACACTGAGCTCATCCCCAAAGTGACCTATTGGCATTAAGCATGGGCTTTCTTGGACAAGTCTCTTCCTTGAGAAGGAAATGGTGTTTGCCAGCTGAGCCCACCAATAGGAAAAGACCCTGTAATTTAAGCCCAGGGCCTGCTTGGGAAATTAGTATTCAGATCTTTTTCCTAAAAGACCTCACCCCTCAGAAAACAATAAAGAGCCCTCCTGCGTATCCTAACATTAAAGGAGGGCCCAGTCAAGGTCTTGGCCTCAAGGAGCTTATGGGTTATTTTGGTAGTTTTCAAATGGTGCTGTGATGGGGTAATAAAAAGGCAGTGCACCTTTACTTTTTTCAATTCTGTATTGGGGGGGGCGGGTCTAAATGAGATATTCTATTTATGAAATGTTTGGCTAATTTTTTTTTTTTTACAAGTTTGAAACTACACATCTGGACACGAGGAGAGGCCATAAGAGAATGTATACCATGTATAGAAACTATCTAAGCATAAAGGAGGAAGGTGGACAAGGGAGATGAAGGGAGGGAGAGAGATGTAATTCAAACAGTACAGGGCATTAGACTTGCCATTTTGCGACATTATGCTTAGCAGGATTGGGAGATGGGAGGTGTAAACCTGCTCCATGTCTTCCATTGGGCTTGTTCCCACACACAGAGTAAGCATCCCACCCCACTGTGTGAGATTCTGGAGTTTCTAAACACACTTTTAAAATATATATAAACAAACACAAACAGGCTTTATCTGCTACTCAACCAAAGAAATAGCCATGTGGTTTAATGCTGGAGGGAAACTTTACTCACAATTTTACTCAGTCTGTGTTCATCTCCAATATGGCACCTTCGCTAAGAGATTTTTAAGAGCATCTTTGGCTCTATATGACTTCCGCCTTCAGCCTGGGTCCTAGACTCACCCCGAGGTGTGACACACCACTCCCTGCAGTATTAAATGCAATATTGTCTTGTGCAGACAGTATGACCTAAATGTGCTCAAGAGGAGGCCCTGGGAACTAGATAAGACAGGGGATGCTGTGTGGAGAAAGCAAATTTGAATCGGGCCTTGAAATTGGGTACATGACAGCAGAAACAGACTCCAACCAAGGGAGCAGCAGGGCAGGATTCCAGGGGCAGGATGTGAATGGGAGCAGATCTGTGAGCTTTGGGTTGGACCTATGATGTCATCCCCATGTTGACACAAGCCAGGATGTGGTTTCCATAGCCTAGCATTTGGTCTGTGGATGGAACTGATGGGTCCAGGTAACAGGAGCTCCTGGAAGGAGATAATATCAAACCACTTCGTGAAAAAAATTACTCTCCTTTCCATTTGTTCCAATCCTTCTGATGGTACCAGAGAGGATAAGGCATCATTATAACACCTCTCCAAAACGCCGATTTCCCTTTTTTGATTTTTGTTTTTCTTCGGTACACGGGCCTCCCACTGTTGTGGCCTCTCCCGTTGCGGAGCACAGGCTCCGGACGCGCAGGCTCAGCGGCCATGGCTCACGGGCCCAGCCGCTCCGCGGCACGTGGGATCTTCCCGGACCGGGGCACGAACCCGTGTCCCCTGCATTGGCAAGCGGACTCTCAACCACTGTGCCACCAGAGAAGCCCTGATTTCCCTTTTAACAGAACGGAAGCAGGGCTCCAGTGAGGTGCCTTCCGTAGGCAACCACATCTTTCTACAATTTAATAACAGTACACGGTCTCACGGTTGCCTATTTAGGTGGGCAAGGCCGGGGCGATCTTCAGTTTTCTTTCAAAGTAAATAAATATGAGTACAAATGGAAGTTGATTTCTTATTAATCGTACGTCTGTAGACTTTGCTGTGGTACAGGGCGTGAGCAAATGGGACAATAAATAATGATGGTGGTAAAAGAAAGACTAAAACTGGGAATCAGTGGTGAGCTCTTAAAAGGAAACAGGATCTGATGTTTTTTTCCCTGAGGATTACCTGCTGCAAAAGAACTTTCTGGAAAACTGGCGCAAGTCAAGATTGTTTGAAAGTCTCCAGTTAGAGAAGCATTCTCTTTCCTTCAGTGAGCTGGCACCAGGCCTCCTATCCTCCACCCTTCCTCACCCAGCGGTCCAGTGGAGAGACAGAGCAAGGTCCCTCCCCTTCCAACAGCTGCACCGTGGGCCCTGAGCCTTATGCACTCATTGGCCTGGGCGACACTTTTTCCAGTATGTCCCCAAAGTGCAAGCCCAGCCCTGGTGCCAAACGTCCCCCTCTCTCCGCCACAGATCTGCCATCACCATATTTCCCCAGAGGACCGACGGCAAGCATGACTTTCGAGTCTGGAACTCCCAGCTCATCCGCTATGCTGGCTACAAGCAGCCTGACGGCTCCATCCTGGGGGATCCAGCCAACGTGGAGCTCACAGAGGTGCGTGCCCCCACTCCTCCCCCAGCTGGTCTCTCATCCTCCTAAACTGTCTTTATCCACAGACTTTATCCTCCTAAACTGTCTTTATCCACAGACTTTTCTTAGTTTAGTATTATCGTAGGGAGAGTGGTCGGTGAGGTACAGCTTACTCATCTCCAGAGCTCCTGCTCTGTTTGCCTCTAGTCCTGCTGGTTCTGCTAGTCCTGCTGGTCATTTGGTCATTTGGTCATTTTCAGGCCATTACCTTGCCCGACCCTCATGATGGGAACTATTGCCCCATTTCACAGATGAGTAGACTGAGTCTCACCAAGGCCACACACATTATCCAAGGCCACTAAAGGAGCAGAGGAAGAGCTAGAAGTACAGTTCCAATCTCCTGCCTTCCCCTGGGAGGAGAGGAACTGACACGTGGAAGCCACGTCTGGCATCATCTTTTCTGGGTTGGGTAATATGTCAGACTCATACCCTTCATTCATTTCCTTGTACAACATTTCTACCTACCCAACCCCTCTCTGGACAGACTGGACTCTCCAGTACCACCACGGTTGCTGGCAGCCCAAGTCAGTTCATAAAAGCCACTAGGAACACGAATACCACCTTCTCCCCATCCAGGGCTCCTTCCAGGTGGTGGTGTGGACAGATAGCACAGGTAAGGCCTGGAAGCTTCCACCAGCTATGCCCACAGGAGACATAATAGGCAGAGTCCACGCCTGGAATATCTCACACACACAGACCTGGTACCTCCCTTATTTGTCACCCACTCAGCCGCCATTCTGCTTGATCTTTGTTCTTTCCTCAAACCCCCCTCAAACTCCACCGCACGAGGGAGCTGCTTAGGCCAAGGGCTACCCCACACCCTCATGGCTGCTGACTTCATTTGAAGTGGCTTTTCTTATTAAAATATTATTATCCTGGGGAGGGGGCTATAACCAGGGCGACCAGGAGTCAGACCTGAGTCTTTTAGCCTCAGCCAGACTCTCTGCTCCACTTGGCTGACCTCTAACTGTATACTTGGCTGACCTTGTCCTTGTGGCCGCCGGAACAGAAACACCACGGCCTCTCCCTCTCCTTCTGTCTCCAGAAACCTCACTGACACAACATGTTCTAAACCCACGCTTCTGTGCTTCCTCTGTCTACTAACTCAGCAGAAAGAGTCACCCCAAACATAACCACAGAATTGTAACTTTCAAAACCCCTCACCCAGTACGGCAGCCACTGGCTGCATGTAGCTAGTGACCGCTTGAAATGTGGCGAGTCCAAACTGAGACATGCCCTAAGTGTAAATAACACGGTCTCAGAGACAGAGAACAAAAACAGAGTGGAAAAGATCTCATTAGTAATTTGTATCTTGATTACCTATTGAAAAATAATATTGTGGATAATATCGGGCTAATCTATTTCTATTTGTTAATAAATTAATACATTTATTGTATTAATAAGTATAGTTAATTTTATGTTAAACATCTTTAAATATATTAATAATTTATTTAATAATTTATTATTAAACAGTTGGTGTTTAATTAGGTTATATATTATAAATTTTTATATTTTATTGGATTAATAAATGAATTACATATTTAATTTTCATGTCAAATATACTATTAATATATTAATATTATTACTATTAATATATTAATATATGCCATATATAATAATATATTAATACATAATGATATTAATATTTGATATAGTAATGCTTTTAGCACAGTATTAATAAATTACTGTTACTATAATTAATTACTATTACTATAATTAATATCGTGCTATAATTCATAATTATTTAATTTTTTTTTTTTTTTTTGTGGTACGTGGGGCTCTCACTGCTGTGTCCTCTCCCGTTGTGGAGCACAGGCTCCGGACGCGCAGGCTCAGCGGCCATGGCTCACGGGCCCAGCCGCTCCGCGGCATGTGGGATTTTCCCAGATCGGGGCACGAACCCGTGTCCCCTGCATCAGCAGGCGGACTCTCAACCACTGCTCCACCAGGGAAGCCCCATAATTATTTAATTTAATTAAATATTATTGAAATTAAAACTTTTGTAAATGATATATTATTTAAATTATTTTCACTGGGTTTTGCTCTGGGTTTGTTTTTTTTTAATTTTTAAAATGTGGCTGCTAGAAAATTTTAAATTACTATGTGGCTCGCTTTATATTTCGATAGGATAGCTGCTCTAACAGATGCATTTTATGTGGTCATTCTGAGAGATCTGCCCTCGTCAAATCTGGTAGATTTTCTTCATGTCTTAGGCACCGGATGCAAACACTTCCGGAGCAAGTGCGTAGGCGTGCCCAGCCCTGTGCAAGGGCACCACAGATGCAAGAGTCAGTTCAGCCCTTGCTCCCGGAGTTCCCAGTTGGCAGGGAAGACCTGGAAAACATAACCAAGTGAGGGGCTGGAGGACACGTTTGCTTTCTGTCCCGTGGGACCACAGACAGTTATACTGGTTACGTGATGATGGCAGGGAGAACTTCATAAAGAAGGTGGCCATGACCCAGAGCCTCCAGGGGGGCTGCTGGCGGGCTTGCACTGGGACCTCTGCCCCTCCCCCCATTGCTGTTATGTCTGGAGGGTCTGGGGCATGGTGGCCTGACCTGGCGGGTCTGGTTGCAGATCTGCATCCAGCAGGGCTGGAAACCCCCAAGAAGCCGCTTCGATGTCCTGCCACTCCTGCTCCAGGCCAACGGCAATGACCCTGAGCTCTTCCAGATTCCTCCAGAGCTGGTGCTGGAAGTGCCCATCAGGCACCCCAAGTAAGAGGGACTGGCATGGGGTGGGTGAGGGTGGTTGGATTTACCCAGTGCCCCTCTCTACCCAACCCTGCACCCCCGGCTCTCTCTCCAGCCCAGACAGAGGCTGAAAGGGGGTCTTGGTTCCTACCCTCATCATGGGCCAGGGCAAGGTGGGCTCCCTCAACATCAATAATTCCTCCTTCACCAGCCTAGGGACCACCATCTTTTCTGAATCAAAATCTCCCTCCTTATAAGTCAGATAGAGAAAGACAAATACTGTATGATATCACTTATATGTAGACTCTAAAAAATACAACAAACTAGTGAATATAACAAAAAAGAAACAGACTCACAGATATAGAGAATAAACTAGTGGTTCCCAGAGGGGAGAGGGGCAATATAGGGGTAGGGGATTAAGAGGTACAAACTATTATGTATAAAATAAATAAACCTCAAGGAGATATAGTAAAACATAGGGAAGATAACAAGTATTTTATAATAACTATAAATGGAGTATAACCTTTAAAAATTGTGAATCACTATATTGTACACCTGTAACTTATATAATATTGTACAGCAACTATACTTCAATTAAAAAAAAGAAAATCTCCCTCCTTACCCCACTCCTAAGGCATCAACCTGGACCTGCCCTTTTTCCAACCCTAAGGACTGAAAGAGCAGAAGCCCCTCCTGTGTCGTTGTGGGCACAAATTTTAAATAGAGGGAGCCATTTAAAACTCTATGTGACCTGACGCAGCTCAAGGTCAAAAGCAATTTGGGGCCAGGATGGGGCTGTGAGGGCTGTGGCCAGCAGCACAAATAGAATTTACACTTTTCGAGAGTAAAGAAACTCCACAGTAAGACCCTGGCCTCAGGGGCAAAATTGATGGGGGAAGCACCAAAAAAAAAAAAAAAAAAATCAATCATCAAGGTAAATAGTATTTTAATGTAATATTTTTTTAAATAAAAATTAACTTTTTAAATATATCAAAACTTTAAACAAAGACCAGGTCAGGGCTGAAATTAGGGGGAAACAAGTGAGGCGAGTTAGGGCAAGGTGGGAGCTTGTCTTTCTTTAAAGTTGTTTTTGGTTTTTTTTTTCTTGCGGTACGCGGGCCTCTCACTGCTGTGGCCTCTCCTGTTGCGGAGCACAGGCTCCGGACGCGCAGGCTCAGCGGCCATGGCTCACGGGCCCAGCCGCTCCGCGGCATGTGGGATCTTCCCGGACCGGGGCACGAACCCACGTCCCCTGCATCAGCAGGCGGACTCTCAACCACTGCGCCACCAGGGAAGCCCTATTTAAAGTTTTGATATTTTGTTTGTCATGGATTTTTTTTTTTGCATTAATTTTGATTTTTTTAAAAAACATTGAATTAATTTGGAATATTGTGTAAATAAATTAATAGTATTGATATTGATCCCTGGGTTTGTTGGTGCCCCCTTAAATTTTGCACCCAAGTCTAGTGCCTTACTTGCCTCACCCTAGTCCAGGCCCTGGAGAGGGAGCAAGTGTCCTGAGGCTCCTGACACTGCCCAATATCTGGGAACTTACCCAGTCTCCCTGGTGAAACTTGGCCTTCATTCATTCATTCATTCATTCACTCACTCATTCGATACTATTTATTATTCCCAGTCTGGGCCAGGCATTGTGCTGGGTTTTGTAGATGACTTGGTCCCTGCCTCCATGGTGCTTTCAGTCTCAAGGAGGAGATCAGTTACCCAAATAACCACTTAATTCCAATAAAGTGCTGCAAAATAAATTTTATGGTACCTAGAGGCATAAAGCTTCCTGACCCAACCCAGATCAGGCATAAGGGAAGGCTTCCCAGAGTCAATAGCATTTTAGCTGAGAATGAAAGGTGGGTAAGAGCTGAACAGGCACAGAAGGAAAAGAGAAGGAAGGAACTGCCGTGCAAAGGTCCTGAGGTCAGAAGGAACTCAGCAATGCTCACTTTCTCCTGGATTCACCTTCAGGGTGGGTTTAGGAGATAAACAGCAGCCCAAGGCAATGGTTCCCAGGCCTGGATGTCCATCCAAATCACCTGGGAAACATGTTAAAGTGCATATTCTCAGGCCCCAGCTGTGGAAGCTGTGATCCCACAGGTCTCACATGAGCCAAGGAATTAGATTCTGGCATAGTAAGTTCCAGTCACTCACTGGCATTTCAGCATCCCCAGACTAAGGATATCCCGCCTGTGTGTCTTCCCATGAGGCTCCTGCCCCATGGTGAGCTGGGCTTTGTTGCTCTCTGCAGGTTGGAGTGGTTCAAGGACCTTGGGCTGAAGTGGTACGGCCTCCCCGCTGTGTCAAACATGCTCCTGGAGATCGGCGGCCTGGAGTTCAGCGCCTGTCCCTTCAGTGGCTGGTACATGGGCACAGAGATTGGCGTCCGCGACTACTGTGACAGCTCCCGATACAACATCCTGGAGGTGAAGTCCCTTCTTGGTCATCATGATGCAGAAGCAGAAGGCAAAGGGGATGGGCTCAGCTGTCCTTTCCCATAGCTGAGCTTTGGGGCTTGGAAACTAGAAGAGGTTAAAACAGAATCTGCAATTCTGGGGATGCCCCCTGGCCTTTCTGAAGCCTTCCGTGGCATTAAGAGTATGTGTACTACAAAAAAAACAAAAAAAGAGAAGAGTACGTGTACTATGTGCTCGGCAGCACTCCAAGCACCTTGCGTGTATTAGGTGCTCATTTAATCCTTACCACAACCTCCAGGTGTGATAATTCCCCTTTCACAGATGAGGAAACTGAGGCCTTTGGGAGGGTTAAAATGAGGACGAGCTCAAGATCATACAGCTAGGGAGTGGCAGAGCTGGGATGTGAACCCAGTCTGGCTTTTTTTTCTTCCGCGCCCCCGGCAGTCTGGCTTTATGATCCGAGTTCATACGCATTCTACTGCACTGCCTGTCAGTGTCAAGCCTTGTTAGAAGGTTTTGAGAACGACCCATGAACATGGGACATTTTTGGTCTCTTTTCTTAAAAAACAAGGCTTGACAGTGATTCCCCACCATGTACATTTCTGGGTGGAGGTTCTGATTCTCTCCAGGGCTGAGTCATACTGATTTACAAAAGAGTGCTGAGGCGGACTGCTCCCTGGAGCTCTACTTTGGTGAAAGCGTCAGGATTGCTGTGGTTTTGTCAGCAAATGTTGTCTGGAACCACAGTCTGCTGTGATTGGCCTTGTTTCAAAAGAGGACACTGAGAAACAGAAGTTAAATGCTGAGCCTACGTCACACAGTAAATAAAGCACAGGGCAAAATTCGTACTCGGAAACAAGCGTTAGGTTTATATTGTTAAAATCCATGGGTGTTCACTTCGGTGGACCTTAAGGGCATTATGCTAAGTGAGATAAATCAGACAGAGAAAGACAAATACTACGTGATCTCACGTATATGTGGAATCTAAAAAAGCCAAACTCCCCAAAACAGAGAGTAGAGTGGTGATTACCAGGGGCTGGGGAGGCGGCGCAGGAGAACTGGGGAAGATGTTGTGGAAGTGTACAAACCTGCAACTAGCAGATAAATAATTCCTGGAGGTTTAATGCACAGCATAGTGATTATGCTCGACAATGATACTGTTATAAATTTCAGAGTTGCTAAGAGACTAGATCTTAATTGTTCTCACCACAAAAAAGAAATGGTAATGATGCGATTGGATGAAGGTGTTAACTAACCCTACAGCGGTAATCATATTGCAATATATAAATGTATCAAACCAATATCTCTCACACCTGAAATACACATAATGTTATATGTCAATTTTATCTCAATTTTTAAAAATTCCATGGGTGCTGGCCTGGAAAACAGAACCAGGGGTCCTCAGCCTCGCCACACACTGGAATTACCTAGGGAGTTTTATTATGCTGGGGTCCCACTCCCCAGAATTTGGATGAAAGTGCTCCAGGGTGGAGCCCGGGCACCAGTAATTTTCAAAGCTCCCCAGAAGATTCTACTGGGAAGCCACTGATTTATACAAACTCCTGGCAGGAAAGGAAAAAACATTTCCAGGCAATTTCCAGAAATGTGGCTGAAGTAATATTTGGGAATTTTTAAAGTCATATATATATATTTTTGCACTTTCTTGCAACCAATTTCTATTCTTTTAACCAAAATAATGCTGTAGAAGTAACAGCAGCAGCATGACTGGCTGTGCACACTCTCTTCTTTTATAAAATAACTCAAGTTTTATATGTATTTGTGTAAAGCAGCGAATTTCTTACTGTGTTTGTATCATCGCTAAAAGACCCCAAACAGACCCTAACACCTCAGCCTCAAAAGAGTAAATTAATGTCTGCTTTCGTGATCCCTGCTTACATTTCAATTGCAAAGAGTAGTCACTGGGTAACTTAAATGAGACACGCTCCCACCCCAGCCTTCCAGTTCTAACTGCCATTATGTACAAATGTTGACATCTGGGGCTGGGAAGTGATTTACCCAAACTTGAGAAATTTTCACATTCTAACCCCATAATGAGACCTAGATTCCCACAAGTGACTGGAATTGACAGAGGAAGTGAGAAGCCAGGCTCTAATTAATGGATGTGCTATTGGTTCTTCCCTACTCCTGACATCAGCTTAGCTGGAGCTGTAACCTAAATGTCAGGAGTTGTTTTCTCCAAATAGTTTTGCTAAAGGAATCTGCTGGCTGGGGAGCCGCTCCCAGGTCTTGGGCGTTACGCATCTCCCTGGGCTCCAGCCCCGAGGCCAACTGGCTCTGTGGCCTGTGAGCAAGTCTCTGCAGCTCTCTGAGCCTCAGTTTCCTCATCTGTCAAGTGGAGTAGGCAGGCATCCCCATGAACTCAAAATACCCATGATCTAGATTCCAGGCAGTAGCCACTCTGGAGATGGACCAGGATGGGTGGAGAGCTTTTCCTACTAGAAAGCAGCTCATGTTTCCTACTAGAAAGCAGGTCATGTCACCAGACCCACATCTCTCCTTAAAGTCCCCCAAAGACCCTCCTCATCATATTTGGAACAAAATCCTCACTCCTTAGCACATCTAGCGTAACCAGTCCTGCATCTCTCTCTCACCAACTCCCCCTGGCTCCCTACCCTCCAAAAACACTGACCTTTCTGTACCTCAGTGCAAGCCTGATCCCACCCCAGGGTCTTTGCATATGCTGTTCTCTCTGCATAGAACATTCCCTCCCAAGATTTACAAATGTCTTGCTTCTTCTTATCATTTGGGACTCACCTGTATGCCACCTCTGCAGTGGTCCTTCCCTGACTATCCTGGTTCAATTCATCCTGCCCCCATATCCCTCTTTATCCCATTTCCTCACCTTATTTTCTTCCTAGGAATTAGCACTCATCACAATATTAACTATTTCTCTCCCGCACTAGAAGGTAAGCTCAATAATAAAAGGTCCAGCCAAGTCCCTCTAGACTCTTGATGCTACCAGTGGGTCCTCAATAAAAAAAAAAAAATTTGAGTAAGTGAATTAGTCTGCATATGAGTTGATGAATTAATTAAGAATTTCATTGGTGACTCTAGCCCTGTCCCTCTTTAGTCTGAAATCCAGAGGTGCCCCAGCCTATGAGTCTGTGTTTCCTTCCCCTTTCAGGAAGTGGCCAAGAAGATGAACTTGGACATGAGGAAGACATCCTCCCTGTGGAAGGACCAGGCGCTGGTGGAGATCAACATCGCAGTGCTGTACAGCTTCCAGGTAGTGCCAGGGCACACCTTCTGGCTGCCAAGCCTCAAAGGGGAACTAAAACCTTTCAGAGTCTCGGGGCAGAAGGTCAAGAGCCCAGCTTCCAGGAACCATCCTTGCAGGGATCTGCCTACCAGTGAGGTGTACTTCCCATCATGCATGCCTTTCTCCCCATGATGGATCTTGGGTGGGGACCATTTGAGAAAGAGGCAAAAAGATAGGGGTTTTGTGACTTGTTGCTTATGATTTATTTTTATTATTTTTTTTTTTTTTGCGGTACGCGGGCCTCTCACTGCTGTGGCCTCTCCCGTTGCAGAGCACAGGCTCCGGATGTGCAGGCTCAGCAGCCATGGCTCACGGGCCCAGCCGCTCCGCAGCATGTGGGATCCTCCCAGACCGGGGCACGAACCCGTGTCCCCTGCATCGGCAGGCGGACTCTCAACCACTGCACCACCAGAGAAGCCCTGCTTATGATTTTTTAGAATTGAAATGACAAACATCTGGGACTTCCCTGGTGGTCCAGTGGTTAAGACCCCACACTTCCACCGCAGGGGGCATGGGTTCCATCCCTCGTAGGGAAACTAAAATCCTGCAGGACGCGTGGCGTGGCCAAAAAAAAAAAAAAAAAGAAATGGCAGGCATCATCTGTGTCTTGCCACTTCTTAGGCATTCAGACTTTCACCTAACAGAAACAAATACTCATCGTCATGATCAGAAGCATAGGTCCCCCAATGCATGTGGCTCCATGATAAAGGCTATTATATGCAGTATGATAGCTTTAAAAATTATCGGCTAAACCATGACACTTTTGAGAGCAAATGGGGGGCACCACTAATAATTGTAACAGTACAAAGGCATAATCTGGGATTCTCCTGGGCAAACCAGGAGGCCCACAGAATAGAGGTCACTCTCTGTAGTAGAGACCAGCTCTGTCCTCTGAGGGTGATGGTTTGGGAAGCTAGACCCTCATAGACATACATGGGAGGCATCCACAGGCAGTAGAATGAACATATCAAATCATGTATAGACATGAATATAAACCATAGGTCCCCATGTCAGGAATAGGGAGACTGGGTATACTGGGGAATGTATATCCCAGGGAAGAGACCAGTTGAGATGGGATGAGGGAGAAGGAAGCCCCCTCCCTTCCCTCTCTACCGTGGAGGCGTGAAGTTCTAGGAATTGTTGAAAATGAAGGAGGGCTTTGGTGGACTGGTACGAAGATTGGCGAGCCAGAGGCAGCAGAGGTGTGAGTGAGATGAATGATTGGAAAAGAAAAGTGCAGGAAAGGGACAGAGTTTTGTGGGCAGAAAGGGAAGACACTGCCTGGGCAAGGTGAGAATCCAAGCCAGCCGACTACAACGGGCCCTGCGGCTGGGTTACGCGGACATTCAGTCCACCCAGCTCTGCTGTGATTGACTTGTTTTCATTTTAATAAACTCATCCTTATTACTTAAAATTGTTTATTTTAAGAGGATTTTGTGTCACCATCATAAATGGAGAGCCAGTACCATTTGCCATAAATAGAATTGTAAATTTAAATAAATATATAAACAAACACACACAGGGAAACAACACAAAGTTGTTGGATTCTAGTTGCCTGAGCTTCCTCTCTCATTAAAAAAAAAAAAAGAGAGAGAAGGAGAAAGGACAGAGGAAGATTGGCAAGAGAGGTGTTTCTCCTGGGTCTAATCAGGATTGAAAGAACAATGCAGAGAATCACCTGCCTAGAATCATCTCCAGGACCAGCCTTTGGGAAACACTGCTCTATGGGCAGGGGAGTCCCAAAATACCCCAGCTGCTCTTTCCTCCTGACTCCTTGTCCCGTCTCCTCCCACAGAGTGACAAAGTGACCATCGTTGACCACCACTCTGCCACCGAGTCCTTCATTAAGCACATGGAGAATGAATACCACTGCCGGGGAGGCTGCCCCGCTGACTGGGTGTGGATCGTGCCCCCCATGTCTGGCAGCATCACCCCCGTCTTCCACCAAGAGATGCTCAACTACCGACTCACCCCCTCCTTCGAATACCAGGTCCTGCCCCTCCCCACCTCTTTCGTGCTAAGTCTTCAATATCCGGTGTGTGTGTTATGATTAGAGCACGTCTCAACTCAGACTTGCGTTTCGGATGCTCAAGTGTGGCCACCATGTTGAACAGCACAGCTCAAGCTGAAAGACGAATGGAGATGAAATGAGTAGTCCGGGGTCACGAGGAGAGTGTCTGAGAGGGGTTCTGAGGGATGAGCGGGAAGGTCTAGCCGGACAGTGCAGGGAGGCTGGACCAGCCACTCTGTGTCAGGACCCCTGGGGTCGCCACTGACAGAATCGTTCCCTTCAAGGGCTAAGGGTTGGACGTAGCTGGACAGCCACAAGCCCCCAGGGGGCCCTGAGCAACTCCCAAGAGGAGCCAGGGTCCCTCACCGCAGTGACCATAGTCCTCTCTTCCCAGCCTGACCCTTGGAATACCCACATCTGGAAAGGTACCAACGGGACCCCCACAAAGCGGCGAGCCATTGGCTTCAAGAAGCTGGCAGAGTAAGTCTCCTAAAGTAGGTGGGGATGGGGGATGGATGTGCCCCCACATTCAGAGAGCCCCAGCAAAGAAGGCTGGAAACATGCTTGCACCTCTGCCCTCTTGTGTGACATGATTTCTCCATTTTCTCCAACCCCCTCGTGCCTCCTTTGCCTCCGAGTCTGGGATGCAAACATCACCATGACTCTTCTCCTTCCCAACCTCACTTTCCTCCCCCCACTTTCCTAAATTCTTGTCCTGGAGACAGTGTTGTGTTGATAAACCAGCTCTCCAATTAGTAAAGTTGGCCATAATAATGATAACAGATTTGTAACCTTTGCCAGTTTCCGTAGTGTAAATACTCCCACTGTGGCCAATTTCAAGCTCTCAACAGGAAGTCACTGAAGCCAGAGTCGGGAGGAGCTAGGACAAGCTGGCTCCAGCCCACCACTGCCTAGAGAGGCCTCTCGCCCAGGGCTGGGTCTCATTTCACTTGCTCATTCACTCATTCAGCCAACAAATGGATACTAAGTGCCTACTCGGTGCCCAGCACTGTGCTGGGCTCCAGAGATGCCATGATGAGCCAGATAATGTGGTCCCGCCCTCATGAAGCTCACAGCTACCACCAAGGAACGATTCATGGGGCCATAAAATAGACGTCAGCCAGTTTGGGAGGTCAAAAGGGGCTTCCCGCAGGAGATGACAATTGAGCTGAAGAATGAAATGAATAAGACTTCACTGAGAAAAGGAGGGAGGGAAGCGGGTTAGGGACCAAGGCTTTTGAAGAGTAACTGTCCTAAAGAACTCGTGGTCAGCCAGGGGACCGTCTGACAAGTGGGGTGGGGTAGACAGATGGTTTAATGGGGATGCCAGCTTTCTGTCTAAAGATAGAGAACTCCCTGATCCACTCAGCAGAGACCCTCTATTTGGAGCTCACTTTTTGGCAGTGGGGCTAGTATGCACCGAGCTACTTAGTCACTTTCCTCAGCGCCTCGGGTCCAGCTCTCAACAGGTGACTGGTAGATCTTGCAGGGACTGAAACCTAGATCCTGGCTCCACTAATATGGTCCACAGGATCTCTCCCTTCTCTCCCTCCCTCCCGTTTCTCCTTCCACCTAACTTTATCTGCAGCCAAGCAAGAATGCATCAGCAGCCATTCTTTCCCCAACAAGAGCATCACAAATTCTCAGGGACAGCAGCCTTTGGCTTCAGTTCAGTTCAAACTGTTTCTGAGGGAAGAAGGGAGGGAAAAATCTAAAGAATTAATTGCGCTGTTAAGTTCCGGGTAGAAACAATGGGAGTTAATTATAGATGCTTTTGTACAATCCGATCATTCAAAGGGAACCCTCCAGGCACTTTTTATTCTCTTCTGTTTCTCCCCCTTTAGCTCCGCAGCGTGGGTAGTTTCCCTGATTCTAAAAAATGATGAATTGACCACCGATAATCCCCAGGTGGGGGTAACTAGCAATTTGTCTACTCTGAGATTCCTAGTTAGAACAGGGATGCTTGCTCGGAAGGTGAGCCCAGGCATTCATAGATGGGAAGGAAGAAACACTGGTTCTGAATTCTCCATTTAACTAGAAAGAGCCTCGACTTGACATTTAAACTCCCCAGGGCTTTGGTGGTAGCAGTATGTTTAAAATCCATTCCTTCTTTTGATAGATACGTATTTAGTGCCTGTTAAGTTTCAGCCTCTGCAAGACCCTGGATGTGCATGGCTGCTTCAACCAGACTTGGTCCTTCCTTTGTGGATTTATGAACCTCTAAAATCCCTTCTAGCTCAATACCTGCTGATTTATTAGTGATTCGTTCTCTCTCTCTCTCTCTTTCTCTTTCTCTCTTTCTCTCCCCACCCTCTCCCTCTCTCTCCCTCTCTCTCTCTCACACACACACACGCACGCACACGCTCACACACACACATGCACACACACACGAACGTAAGCCCCATGACAGCCATTTCTCTGTGTTTCCATTCCTATAACAATGCCTGGCACATGGCTAGGCACTCAACAAACACTTGATGAATGAACAAATGAGTGAAGGAATGACTCATCATCTTTTGGGGCAATGCTTGGCAAACCAAGGTTCTCAAGACCGGGATCAATTAATCAAGTAACAAACTAATAAAACTAACCATGTTAGCTCATGACCAGTTGGTCTGGAGTGACTTAAGAAAGGGATCAATATGGCACCTAAACTTACACTTTGAGTATCCCTGAAGCCATCAAAGATTAGGAGAGAAAGTTCATGGATCATAGTTCTTGCCCAAAAGTCCCAGCGTGTCATCCTCCCTCCTTTCTGCATTTCCCATTTTCCTCTCCATCCTCTCCCCCCCAGAGCCGTCAAGTTCTCAGCCAAGCTGATGGGACAAGCCATGGCCAAGAGGGTCAAGGCTACCATCCTGTACGCCACAGAGACGGGCAAATCGCAGGCTTATGCCAAAACCCTGTGTGAGATCTTCAAACATGCCTTTGACGCCAAGGTGGGTAGGGGGCAGTGCCAGCTCTCTGACCCTTCATGGTAAAGTTGGGGAGGGGAGAGAAGGAATTCAGCAAAGAAGAATCCTTTGAGAATGGGTGATAGCACATCTGAAGATGCCCATCAACTCACTCACGCACATTTGCATATGTTTCAGCGGACTCTGATGCTTCTCTCCCTGGGAACCCTCCAGGAGTCCGGGAATCATAACCCCCATCCCAAGAGCAAAATATTAGAAAGTTTATGAAAGACAATTCTGGAGTCAGTTTGGGAAGCTCTGCCTTTAATACAATTCAGTGGGTTTCTTTGCTGCAGGAATTCTCAGAGCCTTTAATCTGCACCTACGTGTTATCATTCCCAGAAGAGGAGAGGAGAGAATATAAATGTTTCCCAAAGATGTTTGCTTATGGATCACTTACTTTTTTTTCTTTTTTTTTTTTTGCGGTACGCGGGCCTCTCACCGCTGTGGCCTCTCCCATCGCGGAGCACACGCTCCGGACACGCAGGCTCCGATGCACAGGCCCAGCGGCCATGGCCCACGGGCCCCGCCGCTCCGCGGCACGCGGGATCCTCCCTGACCGGGGCACGAACCCGCGTCCCCTGCATCGGCAGGTGGACTCCCAACCACTGCGCCACCAGGGAAGCCCGGATCACTTACTTTTAAAGAGCATCTCAGGAGACTAGCCTTCCCTAGAACCTACTTTGAGAAATGTTGCTCAAGTAATGCTAAGATATAGGGCAAAACAATCTTTCCTTAAGGCGGGTATCTCAGACCTGTTTGGCCCAGGTCCTCCACACTGCTGGACGGAGGATTAGAAAGGAAGCGGAGCAGACAATTGGTCAAATCCAGCTGGGTCATTCCCAGCCTAAATGTGATCAAGAAGATTCCAGCATCCTTTGGTTGTAAGAAGCCCAGGAGTCTTAATCAAGATCTGTCTTTACGGGAGCTTCCCTGGTGGTGCAGTGGTTGAGAGTCCGCCTGCCGATGCAGGGGATGTGGGTTCGTGCCCCGGTCCGGGAGGATCCCACATGCCGCGGAGCTGCCGGGCCCGTGAGCCGTGGCCGCTGAGCCTGTGCATCCGGAGCCTGTGCTCTGCAACGGGAGAGGCCACAACAGTGAGAGTCCCGCGTACCACAAAAAAACAAAAAAGATTTGTCTTTACTGACAGCCAACCCATTGCCGCAGACTCTCTGTAGTCCTTCAGGCCACAGGTGACCACAGAAAGGTCCCACACTGCCAACAAGCTATTAGTTCTACCCACTTGAGCCCATGGAAATAGTGACCCCCAGAACCTTTGGATCTCCTTCCAAAGGAGATGGCTCAAGATGACTCATCGTCTTCCTCTCTCTCTTCTCTTCCCCCATCACTTTGTTCTCTCCTACCCCTTCTCTCTTCTCATCACCTTCTTCCTTCCTCTCCCCACCCCCCATTCTGCCACGTAGGTGATGTCCATGGAAGAATATGACATTGTACACCTGGAGCATGAAACTCTGGCCCTGGTGGTTACCAGCACCTTTGGAAATGGAGACCCCCCTGAGAATGGGGAGGTGAGATGAGCTTCTACCTGTTCTGGCACGTGTTTCCATCAGCAGAAAAGAGGGGCATCGGTTACACCTGCTATTCAGTAGCAAATCCTCCAAAGCCTCAAAGCCAGTGACCTCAGTTTGGGTCCAAGTTCTGCCAAGATAGGACAATTCCAAGTCTTCAGTCTATGGGTGTCCACTGACTAGCCGATCCCTAGTGAAAACGCTGTCACCTGAGTGAGCTACCTCTTTGGAATGGATGCTGCAATCAAGAGCTTGGTGTCCCCGGCTCCAGATGAAAGAAGCAGGGACAGTATTTTTGTAGAAAGCCACAAAGGGGATTTGTGTGCTGCGGGGAGGTGAGGGGAGTCCAAACCTGTAGCCCTTTATAAACAGCCCTCTTCCACATGCAGCGCTGCTGCCCAGCCTGAGCCCCTGACGCCCTGGCCCCCGGGCATCAGGCTCCCCTTTTGCCGGTTAGGTCCCCAGAGCCTCTCCCCAACCCCGTTCCAGATTTAATCACGCCTGCCTTACATTTTGCTTGTCTCTTTCGGCCTCCAGAAATTTGGCTGCGCCTTGATGGAAATGAGGCACCCCAACTCTGTGCACGAGGAAAGGAAGTAAGTGAAAGACCCGCCAGCGTCACATGACACCCTGTGAGGGTAACTGAAAATTGCCTTTTGGCATCTGGGGCTCACATCTGAGTTCTGGGTAGTTTTGTGACCTGAAGTTCATTTGTGACTGATTTTAGCCGGTGGGCGTCTGTCGTCCTCTGGGGCGGATTATTTGGTCTTTGGTCACTTCACAGCCCTGTGCCTCAGTTTCTTTTTCCATCACCCTGGGTTTATTCCATCTGCATGAATTTTCTAATCTGTAAGAATCAAATTAGAAAACAGATGTCAGCGTCCTATGAAAAGTTGTGCACTGTGTAAATACCAGTTCTTACCATGGCCGCCCTTTGGAAACCTACATTCAGAATCAGTGAGTTTCTTTCCCTAGAACTTTTCCATCTGATGGAGTTGCATCCACTAACGTGGAGGCTGACCTCAAAAGATAGCTCGGGAATTCCCTGGCTGTCTAGTGGTTAGGACTTGGCACTTTCACTGCTGAGGGCCTGGGTTCAATCCCTGGTTTGGAACTATAGGATCCCACAAGCCACGCAGTGCAGGCAAAAAAAAAAAAAAAAAAGAAAAGGATATCTCATAAGGTGAAAAATGCCTGAGGTCAAAAGATGTTCCTGGTAAAACGGCATCTAACATGGGGTTCGGTTCTAAAGATATTTCATAAGGTGACAAACACCCGTAACCAAAATTACCCTTGAAAAACCCTTAAATCCCCCCGAAGTAGAGAACATAAGGCGTGTGCACACAGAGCTACCTTTCTGTGAGAGCATCTCAGTGTTTCCTCCACCGCGGAACAGGTCTTAAGTTGAGCACTGGATGCCATGGCTGGCTGGTGGTTAGAGGCTGTGTGCTGCACAGCATCCCTCTTGGTTTTCTTTCAGCCAAGCACACATTGCCAAACTTGCCTACATTCCATATCCAGGGGACAGCTGAGTCCCTGGTGGTCAGCCTTCCTTCTGTGCTCAAGGCCAACATCTTAGTCCTCCCTCTCCCTGCCTCTCTCCTTCCCACCCTATCCTGGTGGCCTCCAGTAGGTCCCCCTCACCCCTCCTTCAGGGAGAGATAGGGCACCATCCATTCTCCCCTCTAGGTACCCGGAACCCTTGCGTTTATTTCCCCGTAAAGGGCCTCCCCTCCCCCGAGGTGACACAGAAGTCCACGGTCTGGCTGCAGCCCGTGACAGCCAGCGCAGGTAGAACGTGTGTGTGCGCGCACTCGCCTGTGCATGTGCGTGCACACGAATGTGTGCACGTGTATGCCTTGCATTCACGTGTGTGCGTGAGTGGTGTGAGCGCTTGTGTGCATGTTGGTAGGTATGTGTGCGCATGCCCAATACTGCAGCATCCAAGGCCACACCCAGGTCTCAAGGAGACCTGAGTTCTAACCCAGGCCGTGAGACTAACACGCTGAGTAACCTTGAGCAAGCTGCTTGACCTCTCTGGGCCTCGTCTTTCTCATCTGCCAAATGGGGAGAAACTACCTCTGCCCCAACCACCTCTGGGAGCTGTTGCAAGGATCGAAGGATAATAACAAAGAGGAACGCATTTGGAAAAACCTCAAGCCTCATACAAACACAAGTGCTGTTATTTTTACCCCACAACCGTCAACCATCCTTCCCACACTAACAACACACAGCCACCCCCTGATATGTTACAGGACGTATTTGGAGAAGTGACTCAATGTGAGACTATTTTTAGGGCAGCAAATACACTTACATATATTTAGAACTTTCCTGATGCTGGAGCGAAAACTTTGAAGAACATCCAGCTTAGGAACCCTGCTGCCAGAACGTGCAATTTCTTTTTTTGTCTTTTGCACTCAGATTTGTGTGTTGAGTTTTCGTGTTTGGGGTTTTGATTTGAGAGTTTTATGGAGTTTTTTAGTTTGGGGGTTTATTTTGTTTTGTTGCTCTTGGAAACATTTTTGGTTTGGTTTGGTTTGGTCTTTGCCTTATCTGAGAACAAGACTTACCACTTTTAAAGGAAAACTGGAAAACCATTCATGGTTTTTTTTTTTTTTTTTTTACATCTCGAGGCTCCTGAGCCTCTGATGCTGAGGTCCCAATGACACCTTTCTTCCCCTTTGAAACAACTTCATAAGAAATCCATTCTCTTTTCAGGCTGTGTCAGTGCTGAACATTTTTCAGTTTACTTGAAATGTGAAATGTGAGAGACCCTTGCAATGTCTAAAGACCAAAACTTTATTGAAAGAGAATGTTGTGATGGTTACCAGTGGGGAGAGGGAAGGGGGAGGTGCAAGACAGGGATAGGGGATTAAGAGGTACAAACTATCACGTATAAAATAAGCTACAGTGTTATATTGTACAACCCAGGGAATATAGTCAATATTTTATAATAACTATAAATGGAGTATATAACATTTAAAAATTGTGAATCACTATATTACACACCTGTAACTTAATATCGTACATCAGCTATACTTCAATTTTTAAAAATGGAAAAAAGTTTTTAAAAAGAAAGAGAATGTTGAATGGGGTAGTCCCGCACCATCCAATAAACCTTTCTACAGGCATATAAATGTTCTATATCTGTACCATCCTGTACGGCAGCCACAAACCACTCATGGCCGTTGAGAACTTGACACGAGGCTAGAGCACGTGGCGAACAGAATGGTTCATTGTATTGAATTTGAGTGAATTTAACTTTAAATAGCCACGCACAGCCAACGGCTACGGTAGTAGACAGCACGAGTGTAGTTCTTGGCTACTCCGTGTGAGGAGAGGAGACCAGCAGCATCTCCTGTGAGAAATGCAGGATCTGAGGCCCTACCCTGGACCTACTGAATTGGGATGTGCTGCTAACCAGATCTCAGAATGATTCCTGTACTCATTAAAATTTGGGAAGCAAGGAAACGTGGTCTGATGGGCTAAGGAATGGACTGTTCTTCCTGTTCTTTCTCTCAAGTGTGGTCCAAAACTTTTTTTTTTCAGTTTTAATACTTTTTTATCAAAGTATAGTTGATTTACAATGTTGTGTTAATTTCTGCTGTACAGCAAAGTGATTCAGTTATACACATATATACATTATTTTTCATATTCTTTTCCATTATGGTTTATCATAGGATATGGAATATAGTTCTCCGTGCTGATACAGTAGGACGTTGTGGTTTATCAATTCCGTATATAAAAGCTTACATCTGCTCCCCCCAACCTCCCACCCCATCCCTCCCCCCACCCCCTCCCCTTGGCAACCACCAACACGTAGCATCAAATGATGTCTAGGTGTCATTTTTGGCAGGCAAGGGTGAGTTGATACATTCTAGACAAAGCCATAGGTGTGTTATGGTCTCATTCAAGACCCAAAGGAAGGCCCTAGAACCAGGACTGGTGATTTGGAGAGCCATCGGGTGTTGACCCCAGGAGAGGGCTCCAAGCCAGAGCTCACCGACTCTCTTTCATCTTGGCAGGAGCTACAAGGTTCGTTTCAACAGTGTTTCCTCCTACTCCGACTCCCGCAAATCATCGGGCGATGGGCCGGACCTCAGAGACAACTTTGAGAGCGCGGGACCCCTGGCGAATGTGAGGTGAGCGAGGGGCCCAGGGTGTCAGGGATGACGAAGGCTCTCGCGGAACTGGACTGAGTTACAAAGTGGGCTCTTTCTTGGGGGCCGGGGGGGGCGGTCTCCCTTCCATGTCTGTTTATCCCTCGAATAACCAGCTGCACTCTGGCTCTTTGGGGACATCCTGCCCCCATTAAAGCACACTACCTGGACCCCTCCTGTGACCTCGTCCTATCACACTACTTCAGAGCCCCTGTCACCCAAGTTTCGCCCCATCACACAAATTTCACATCATTTGTGCTGAAGGATGTTAGTGCCCCACGCGTCACTCAGCGAGCTCCCTTTGTAAGTGCTGTTACTGGAGAATGAACTTGAGCTGGTGTCCAGGAGTCTCAGAGATCAAGTGAAAGTTAACATAGGTTAATATCTACTCCTTTTAAATCTACATTCATGCTTTTCATCTCATTCTCCTCTCTTCTGGGGACACACTACCATGACCCAGTGGTTCCCACCCTTGGGTGCTCATCAAAATCACCTGGAGGTGTTTGCAGTATACAGATAACCAAGCCCCACTTCCAGAGTTTCTGATGTAGTTGGTCTAAAATTGGACCCAAGCATTGCTTTTTCTCTTTTTTTAAATCTCCCTAATTGCCTCCAATGTGCAGTCAGATTCAAAAAACTACTGTCCTGACCCCGCGTCACCCTAAAGCATAGTCACGTCCCATGAGAGCATTTTAGATGGTACATGGACAGAGGTTTTACATTTCAATGGTTGTGAATATGATTTAATGGGTATTTGGAAAGAAAGAAAACTGGATGTCAAGCCCTTGGTTTGACAGACATTGGTCAAGATGAGGCTTGATGTAAGCAGTGTGTTCAGGCCCGGCCACGAATCTCTTAGACCTTCACCAACTGAACCTTCTCCACACCGGCTCAGGACAGTGCTTAGCAGACGATAGAGATCACAGGGTTCCTAGATATTCAAGTATTGTTTTCATCAGTACCCTTCTTTTTTTGGCTGAGTCACACGGCTTTCAGGATCTTAGCTCTCTGACCAGGGATCGAACCCGGGGCCATGGCAGTGAAAGTGCCGAGTCCTAACCACTGGACCACCAGGAAAGTGCCCATCAGTACGCTTCTTAATAAACTTTATTTATTTAAAGCAGTTTTAGCTTCACAGCAAAATTGAGGAGAAGGCACAGATTTCCCATATACTCCCTGCCCACCCCCACCCCCACCCACACACAGACACACAGCCTCCTCTACCATCAGCATCCCCCACCACGGTGGTGCATTTACACAACTGGTGAAGCTACACTGACACACCATTGTCACCCAGGGCCCATAGTTTACATTAGGGTTCACCCTTGAACTGACGGGTTTTGACATCAGTTCATTTTCTTTAGCTTGACGTTGAAACATCCATGGTTTGACAGTCAGACCTATTTTTCCCTTACTAAATCTATCATGGCTTAGAGCAGGGGTTGGCAAACTACAGCCCATGGGCCAAATTCAGCCTGGCCACTGTATACTTTTGTACAGACCATGAGCTCAGACTGGTTTTTACAGAAGAACAATTACAATTTATTTGATGATAGAAAACATTACCTTTGAACCCCAATTAAGCAAAATGCTATCCCCCCAAAAAAGAATTCCATTCTTCTCATTAGTAGACATATATAACTAAAAAATTGTACCCAGCAACTATTATTATTGTATTTTTAATTTTGTCCAAAATTATGCAGGAATATATTTTCTTTTTTGTCATATGGGTATCTACATAATAGCTTTGATTTTCCTTCTTGTCCTACAAGCCTGAAAATATTTACTGTCTGGCCCCATGTATAATAAGTTTGCCAACTTCTGTTTTGGAAGCTTAAAATAGGAATTTTGAAACCATAAGATGAAGACTGTGATGAAATGTGAACCTAGGAAGTGGCTGTGACACAGGCCTTCAGGTGCATCAGGAAGCTTGTTAATGAATGAATCACCCAGACCAACTCTTAGTGAACACCAGTGGGTTTGAATAGCCAGTGAGTACAAATTAAAAGCAAAGTAAACAGCACTACTAAGTAAATAACAGTGTGGGTGGTAGTCAAGTATGGCGGGTGTCTCGAACGTAATAAATATTGGAGGTTCGGGGAACAATGCCTTAACCGCAAGGCATGACTAGCGCGAAGAGTTTCCAAATCTGTGTTAGGCTAAGGGATGGCTGGGAGGCAGAAGTGCTGCTTCCTGCATCCTTTAACCAGTCCTCTGCTGGCCACTGGCTCTTTCCACCTGTCAGGCCACTGCCCTGCGGGGAAAAGGTGAGGAATCCAGCTAAAGGAGGATTGTGGGTGAAGGACTGCTGGGGAAACATGCTACCTAATCCCACATCCTTCCCTTGGAAAGACTCTGGAACCCCAGGGAAAGAAGGGCAGGAGAGGAGAGGAGAATGAGATGAAAAGCATAAATGTAGATTTAAAAGGAGTAGATATTAACCTATGTTAACCTTCACTTGATCTCTGAGACTCCTGGACCCCAACTCAAATTCATTCTCCAATAACAGAGGGTCCCTTCCCAACTTGCCCCACCTCCTTCCCTCATCCTCCATCGCAATCTTTCACCACCCTGGCTCCATCATTCTAAAAAAGAGATTCAAGAGCAGAGCCAGACCCTGTAAGGAGTAGGCTAAATAGCCCCACTCCTTGACTTGTCTGAACTGGCAGTCACCGCGGAACCCTCCCACATGGGAAAGGAGCAAGCTAGGGTGTTGTTCGTATCCCACTTATAAACCTGTCCATCCAGTCCCAATGAGGTCAAGACCCACAGCCAGGACCGAGTCCTGGAAATGTGACATCAAGTCTCTGCAGGACTGAGGGGCCACCTGGGACACAGCCCTCCACTTCCCAGACTTCAGAAAAATCTCATTAACTTGACGCCCATTGATTCAAACTCCGACACTTTCTTGGTGGTATCTATGCAAAGAGACTTTGTGAAGCAAATCGATTTCACAGGTATTGCAAGGGGTGGAGCCAGCATATTTATAAACCTTTCGATCCCTTTTAGAAGAACCTGTTTACACACCAATGCTGGATGAGTTAATGACAAGTCCTGATCTCCTCGTTAACACAGGTCCCCTAGAACTGCTATGCTAGGGTTTTCATTCTCTTTGTACTTAAAACTAACCTGATTGTATCATGAGTAGAGTCAAGTCTTCCTCTAATGTAGACTCATTTCCCCAATTAGTCCAGCTTAGAAGTGGACACACAAGAAACAGCCAATTGTTCTGGGTCACCACTGTCCCCAACTCATCCTCCTTAGGACCAACTGGGACTTTTCTCCTGAGGACAGTAATACCTAGCAGAGACCAGAAGGACGGGAGAGAGGGCTGGGGGCTCCCAGGCTTAAAGACGGCCTTCCCCAGATGGGCTTGGGGTAGTCTGACCATCACGGGCTAAACACCATCCTTCTGGAGATACCAGAGGTCTTTGTCTGCTTGGGCAGCCATAACAAAATACCATGCACCGGGGGACTTCAACAGTAGAAATTTATTTTCTCACAGTTCTGGAGGCTAAAAGTCCAAGATCAGGGTACCAGTAGGATTGGTTTCTGGTGAGCCGTCTCTTCCTGGCTTGCAGACAGCCACCTTCTTGCTGTGTCCTCACATGGCCTTTCCTCTGTGAGCGTGTGGTGGGGGGAGAGAAAAAGAGAGAGCTCTCTGGTGCCTCTCCCTCTTCTTAAAGGACACCAGTCCTATTGGATTAGGGCCCCACCCTTATGACCTCATTTGACCTCAGTTACCTCCTTGAAGGCCCCATCTGCAAATATAGTCACATTGGGAGAGAGTGCTTCAACATATGAATTTGGGGGGACATAACAGTCCATAACCCCAGACACCCCCCCGCAACGCCTCCCTAGTCCCCTAGCCTGGAACTTCTGTTGTCTTCTTGGCAGGTTCTCCGTGTTTGGCCTTGGCTCGCGGGCGTACCCTCACTTCTGCGCCTTTGGACACGCCGTGGACACCCTCCTGGAAGAGCTGGGTGGGGAGAGGATCCTGAAGATGAGGGAGGGGGATGAGCTCTGTGGGCAGGAAGAGGCTTTCAGGACCTGGGCCAAGAAGGTCTTCAAGGTAACCATCTACCCAGATCTCAGAGACCCAGGGGGAGAAATCATGTCCCCAGTGACCCCCAAGGACAGAGTACCTAAACCATCAGACATAGAAGAAACTTGAGAAAATCCTTGGTACTTCCCTCACGTATCCAATCAGGAGACAGCTTCAAACAATTCAGATGAGTTTGGGTGGTCCTAAGATACACAATTTCCAACCAGAATCCAACCTCCTGCATTAAGGGTAAAGAGTTGGTCTATAAAACATTATAGAGTCTTGGAATTTCAGGGCTGGGAGGAATCCATCCCTCACTCACATTTGGTAGACAAGTAAACAAAAAAACATAGTGTTGGTTAACCAAACCAGGGGGCCATGCCTCGGGCTGGATCTCAGATCTCACCAGTTGATCTGCTTCGACAATCTTATTCCTCTTGTGCTAGATCTTCAGTGACCTATACGGTAGCCACTAGCAACAAGTGATCATTTAAATTTAAATGTAAACTAAGTAACATTAAATGTGATGAATGGATAAACTAAGTGCTGTGTGTCCGTACAAAGGAATACTATTTGGACGTAACAGGAATGAAGTGCTGATGCACGCTACAAGGATGAACCTTGAAAACACGCGCTAAGTGAAAGAAGCCAGACACAAGGGACACTTACTGTATGATTCCATTTACATGAAACGTCCAGAATAGGCCAATCCCTAGAGACAGAAAGTAGATTAGTGGTTGCCAGGGGTTTGGTGGCGGGAGTGGGAAATGGGTGTGGCTGCTAATGGGTACAGGGTTTCTTCTGGGTTGAGGGAAATGTTCTGAAACTGGATAGTGGTGGTGATGGTACAACCTTGTAAATAACATATATACAACTAGATGTAAATTAAGCAGAATTTGAAATTCCACTCCTCAGCTGCACAAGCCACATTTCACGTGCTCAATAGCCACTAGTGGCTAGTAGACAATTAGAATGTTTCCATTATGATATCCTATTGGATAGCGTTATTCTAGATATGAGGTCGAGAATAAACGAGCAATGGCCTCCATATGCATGTGGGGCGTGGTGCAATTGGCCATCCTGGGAAAAACGAAAAAGGCAATGAATGTGGACCCACCTTTACCTGCTCCTTCTTTGGCCCTGGAATGCATTGTTATCAGCAGCCCCAGGAGAAAGGGGACTGTGCAACCTTCTGTCAGTCCGTTGACACTTTTCATCCTCACAAAGGAGCAAAAGGGGAAACTGAGGCCCCTGAGCTATAAGGGTATGTGAGTGAGGAGGCTGTGTTGGTAATCGTGTGCCAGCATCTCTTCCTAGGCAAAGAGAACCAGGATAACTTGGCTCTGTTTCTACCTGGAGATAATTGTGTGGTTCTTGACTTCAATCGGGCAACATTGGGCATCCCAGAAGCAGGGCCTGTTACAAGCTATCATACCCTTTAAGCCATCACATCCCTCATCCTCCCAGCCAACTCCCAGCCCTACCAGCCACTAAATCTACTTTGTGTCTCTATAAATTTGCCTATTCTGGACACTTGATATGAATGGAATCATAATATGTGGTCTGTTATAACTGACTTCTTTCACTTAGCTTAATGCTTTCCTGGTGCATCCACATTATAGCATATATCAGTACTTCATTCCTTTTTATGGCCAAAATAATATTCCATTTTATAGATGTACCATATTTTATTTCTCCACTCTTCAGCAAATGGACATTTGGATTATTTTAAAATCAACGTGAGGCCAAAAAATGGTATTAAAAAAACCTACCTTTGAAAATCTTTGGAATTATCCATGGTTTTTAACCTCCAAGAATCTGAATTCTGCACAGTAATTCTTAGAATCAGTAAAGTTGGGGAACTTACGAACTTGGCAAAAAAAGAAAAATTTTATACGCAGGTATCCAAACGTGCAATATATTCTGCCTTCACTATAATTTTTAAATCTTTAGAGGAAGATAGGAAATTTCTAAGGTTTTTACTTTCTTGTTTAATGTTAAGCCTCTGCAAAAGTTGGTTTTAGAAATAAGTGACATAAGAGAGTTACATATTAAATAGAGGTTAGGTCCCAAAGTCAATAGTAAATGTGGTATGTCCAGCCCATCAAAGGCACTCAGAAAGGGTGGATTGGTTGATGAGTGGATAAATGGATGGAGAGAAGGATGGATGGGTGGATGGATGGATGGAAGGAAGGAAGGAGGGAGGGAGGGAAGGAAGGGAGGAAGAGAGGATGGAGGGAGGATGGGTGGATGGATAGAGGAATGGATGGATGGGTGGATGAATAGAAGGATGGATGGATGGATGGAAGGAGGGAGGGAAGGAAAGGAGGAAGGGAGAGAGGGAGGAAAGGAGGATGGATGGATGAATGGAGGGATGCAATGGAGGGAAGGAGGATGGGTGGAGGGGTTGATGGTTGGATAGATAGGTGGATGAATGGATGGAAGGGAGGAATGGAGGGAGGGAGGGAGGGTGGGTAGATGAGTGGGTGGATGGGTTGATGGGTGGGTGGATGGGTGAATGGGTGGAGGGATGGATGGATGGGTGGATGAACGGAAGGAAGGAAGGAATGGAGGGAGGAGGAGGGTGGGTGGATGAGTCGGTGAATGGGTTGATGGGTGGACGGATGGATGGATGGATACATGCTATGACTTGGAGCTGTTGGGAGGCACGCTGCTGGCTGAAAGAGGTCACTGAAAGCCCCGTGTGTGCCACAGGCAGCCTGTGACGTGTTCTGCGTGGGAGATGACGTCAACATTGAGAAAGCAAACAACTCCCTCATCAGCAATGACCGCAGTTGGAAGAGGAACAAGTTCCGCCTCACCTACGTCGCCGAAGCTCCAGAACTCACACAAGGTACCGCCCACCACACACCTGGGGAGATGTTCATGACAGCGGGGGGAAAGGAAGACAGGAGTTCTCACCTCCGAAAGGTCCTTAGAGGAGGTGGGCTTCACTGCTTTGGTCTCCCTTAGTTCAGTCCTCCCGGTAAAGAGAGGGTCAGGAGAAGCTGGAGACTTTTTACTGACAACTGTTTAACTCCATCACAGGAAGACCGTTGTTCTTCTCCCCCCAGGTCTATCCAGTGTCCACAAAAAGCGGGTCTCAGCCGCTCGACTCCTCAGCCGTCAAAACCTTCAGAGTCCTAAATCCAGGTAGGAACACCTTGGCCCCTTTGGGTTCCCCACCTGTGCCCCAGATGCCACCCACAACAAGGAAGGAGGACTCCGAGGACTGGCTTCCTATTACTACTCTAAGGGTCCTCGAGACCCCCTTGCCACTAGCATCTTGGTTTCCTGCTTTCCCTTTGCCAAGTTCCAACCTGCAGGGATGAAAAAAGTAAATGGTGACGATCCTTGTGGAAAGGGGAAAGAGAAAGGTTTTTCGAGGAATTTTTAATAGAGACCACACCCTTCTCAGACTGCTAATGTTCATTGTAATGTGCATCTTAGTCAGAAATCACTTAGTCCTGACATCTCCCTGTGGGTAATTCTTCTCTGCTGTCCTGAGAAATGCCTGCTCAGTCTCTGTTTAAATTCCTCTGGGATGACGGGAGGTTTATTAACCTGTAAAACAGCCCTGTCTGTGTTTTGAGGTCCTGATTGTTAGAAATTATCTTCCTATTCCTTATAACCAAAGCAAATGTTCCTAGCACTTCATTTTGATCCTAAGTTGCACTCTCCAGTGACACCCAAAACAGAGTCAGTTCTTCCAAATGAGAGAGCTGCCAATAGCCAAGGACAGTGACCAATCTCTCCCTGGTCCTCATTCCTTCCAACTGTTCTTCCTGAGACCTGGTTTCCCAAACCTTTTGCTTGAGTAAAAAGACACACTCTGGGGCTTCCCTGGTGGCGCAGTGGCTGAGAGCCTGCCTGCCAATGCAGGGGACGCGGGCTCGTGCCCCGGTCCGGGAAGATCCCACATGCTGCGGAGCGGCTGGGCCCGTGAGCCGTGGCCGCTGAGCCTGCGCGTCCGGAGCCTGTGCTCCGCAACGGGAGAGGCCGCAACAGTGAGGGGCCCGCGTACCGCAAAAAAAAAAAAAAAAAAAAAGACACACTCTGTCCTGCTGGAAATGTCATTCCCAGCCCTGGTCACAGTGCAGTGGAGGTCCTGTGATCACTACCAAGTGCACTAAGGCTATTATTACCATCCCCGATCTGGATAGGATGCTCTAATGCCGCCCAGGATTGCAGGTGTTGTCCTAACAGCCATGCTGCTCTCCCATTAAGCTTACGTCCTTGCTGCTCGTGGACTTGAAGTCTTTTCAGAGTGATCAGGCCAGGTCTCTGCATCCCTCTACTTGTATAAGTAAATTTTTTGGCAGTAAAGAAAGTCTTTGCATTGATTCCTGTTGAATGGAATCTTTTTCACTTTGCAGTTTTGGCCCATGAAGTTCTTTTGAGATCTTGATTCTTTGCCTGGCATGGTACAAAGGGTGGGCTCTCCAGCTGGACAGCCATGGGTTCTGACCCCAGTGCTGCCACATGTCGGCTGTGTGACCTTGGGCAAGTCCCTTGGGTCTTCTGAACCCCTATCTCCTTACCTAAAATGAGATCGATGGCTATAAAGATTGCCAGTGTTTATCTAGTACTCTCTGTGTTCCAAGCACTGTTTTGAGTCCCCTCTGTGCAGGATCTCCCAGAGTTCTGACCAGCCCAGGAAGTAAGTACTAGTATCATCCACGTTTTAAATATGAAAAATGACAATTAGAAAATGCAAGTGACCTTTCAAGGCCACACAGGCTCAGTTCTCTGACTCCAAGGTCAAAATGCCAAATGGCTATACCTATGGCCTCACCAGCATCACAAGGCTGCTGTGAGTATTAGAAGCAACACACACAAAGCAACTAGCGTATCCCTCATCCCCGTTACTATTCCTTACCCGTCCCAGCTTCATACACCTGCAAATTTAGTATGTGTGCTTTCTACGTGGACTTAAAACCTTTTTTTAAAATTGAAGTATAGTTGATTTACACTGTTGTGTTAATTTCTGCTGTACAGCAAAGTGATTCAGTTATACATATACATACATTCTTTCTTTTAATATTCTTTTCCATTGTGGTTTATCATAGGATATCGAATATAATTCCCTGTGCTATACAGTAGGACCTTATTGTTTATCCATTCTATATATAAAAGCTTACATCTGCCAAACCCAACCTCCCACTCCATCCCTCCCCCACCCCCCTTCCCCTTGGCAACCACAAGTCTGTTTCTCTGTGCCTGGATGTAAAACTTGTGATAAAGTGGTCAACAGGATGGAGCCCCAGGGCTCTCATGTTCTCTCCCAGATCCTCAAACACTAAAGAAATGGATTGGGAAATTAATCCATTTGAATAATTAGTTAAATGCAATATTCAGAGCATACTGATCTCTGATACAGAAAGGGACTCATTTGAAATACGCATCGTACTCCCCATTTCCATCCTGTGGAAAAGTACAACTTCAGTAGCATTGGAAGAGAAGGGACTAAGAATCTACTGGAAATTTCTTTCAGTGACAAACTGTGAAAGCCTAGATCACAAAGATTACTCCCCAAACCACAGTACATGAAAAGCAAGGTAATTTACAGATGTTTCGATGCTGAGTTGGACTGAAGTCCCAGAATAACCCCCGATCCACCTCTGGAAAGGACAGTTAGCTCTGAATGACTTACAAGAAGATATTTCAACAAGGTTAGGAACCAGAAGACAGTATTAAAATCAGTTATGGATTAGCTCAAAAAGGACCAAATGGTGTCTAGATGTTTAACTCTTTAAAAGCACACTCCATAGCACTACCTATTTTCAGGTTTACTACCATTTCCAGCTTTATATGGTGGTTGTTTTGTTTTTGTTTTTGTTTTTTAAGAATAACTGAGCAAAAAAGCATGACTCTGTCTCCTGTTTTCCCCTGCCCAAGGCCAAAGTCCAGCTGTTTGAGCCAGGAGACCATAGCAAGATATCATGTATCACACACCCACCACTCCCACCCCTAACAAGAGACCCTTAATTGCAAGCAAAGTGCTTAAGAGGAAATAAGCCACCTTTTGAAGGTGGTCCTTGCAGCTCTAAAGAGAAAAGTGACCGCAGTTACTGCCTGGCCAGGAAATAAGCTTTCTACATACGGCAATTAGCAAACAATACAGAAAAGAGTATTATGGAGCACTAATGGGTGGGGTGTGGATCATAGGTCCTAGAAGTCAGAAGGAGGAGGGGAAACGCCTGGTAGGCTTTAGATAGGCTAGTGAATAGAGGGGGGACATCTAGGAAGAGAGAATAGGAGCAAAGATGCTGAAGGGGCCCTGAGAGCTGGGGTATCTCAGAGAAAGATGGGACATTATAATGGAGAGTTCTTGATGGGAGAACTCTTAATTCCCAGCTACCCTCTGATAAAATTGCTTCTCTCCAGCCTTCACCATCTCAACAGAAGACATCAACATTTGGCTTAAGCCCAAGACTTAAGCATCCTCCCTGTCACCTCGCTTTCCCTCCCACTATGCATCCAACTCTCAGCTCGTTCTGTGGGTCTTGTGTTTCAGCTACATCTCAGACCTACATCCACCACCTTAAAGCAAGGCCACGATCGTCTGTGGTCTGAGTGCCTGCCATAGATTCCTAACTTGTCTCCTTGTTTCTTGACATTTCTCTCAAAGATCCATTTTCCCAACAGCAGGCAGACTAATCTTTTAAGAATGTAAATGGAAGCCTGTCCATCCACAGCTTCACATCCTCCAATAGCTTCCCACTGGACTTAGGAAACCTTCAAACTCCTTTGCCATGACAGGTCATGACAAGACCCTCATGATCTGGCCTCTGCCTAGCTCTCTGATCTCCTCTGTACCACCCACCCCTGTGTTGACCCCTCTTCCAAACACTCCAGTCTTCTTTCCCTTCCTCAAATGTGCCACACTTTTTCCAACCTCAGGGCCTTTGCGCATGCTGCTTCCCCTTTCAGGAACACTCTTCCCCCAGGTCTTTGCATGTCCGTTCCTTCTCATTCTTCAGATCTCTGCTTAAGTGTCAAATCACCAGAGAGGCCTCCTTGACCATACTTATCTGCCAGGCACTTAGCCCACTGCCCCCACCCATCAGCATCCACCCATCCTCATCACCAGCCCCGTGTGAGATCTTTCTAAGTTACTTCTCAATGAGAATCAGGCCCTTTGTTATCTTTATCCATCACTCTCTCACCAGTGCCTAGAACAGTGCCTGACACTCAATACAAATTTGTTGAAGGTATGAACCTTATTCACTCAAACTGCTCACAACAGACACTGTTTACTCTTTTCCTTGAAGAACGAACATGAGCTATTTTTTTTTTCCATTTAATGCTGGACGTTAGCAGACTGTTCTTTCATCTGCGAACCTGTCATTGAACCATTGCCGAGTGTGTGTGTGTGTGTGTGTGTGTGTGTGTATGTGATGCTCCTGTAGGTGAATATAAATACATCACAGGCAGGGGATACTCTGGGGGAAAGGGCTCAAATGGCTCTACCTTCCCAATGTTGCCCTTTTTGCCTCCCCTAAAACTTTTCAATGGCCCATATGTGTCCCAAGCTTTTTTTTTTTTTTTTTTTTTTTTTAAGGCTTAGAAAATCCTATACTTAGAAACCCCCAGCAGAACTGAGATGTAGGACAATTAGTCTCCAGGCTACTGCTACCCACTGGGGGATCAGCTTCCTGCAAAGCTTCAAGGACCAGCCCACTACCCACCACATGGTCCTAGGGCCATGCAGCCATTCACTGCCGGGATTCTCCACATGCCATGCCTTGGTCAGCGGCTTGCAAAGTGTCCGTGGTCAAATTCCCAGCAGAGCCGGGGCCCACCTTGTGGCCCACCTGCCAGCTCCATTCCCATCCCTGCCTCTTATCCGCCAGACCACCTTCGGCCACGTTCAAGAGGACTTAGGGGAAATGGCTGTGCGTGTGAGCCAGCTCAGCAAGTTCGGGTCCTCCGCATTTCTATTTTGTACTGGCCAAAGGAACAGAGGCAAATATACTTCTGAAAGAAATCATGATGATCTGGGAGAAAGTAGGAACTGATTTGTGGACCTTTCAAAGGCTTCCCCTGGCAGGCGCTGGAGGCTCCCAAATTAGCAACCCCACAGCGCCCTCTGCTGGTTGTCAGCCTCCGCCGATCCCCTTCCTGGAGCTGGCAGTGGGTGACGATTGATGCCTTGCTCTCCAGGAACCAAAAAATTGGTATGAGCTCAGAACAGAATCAGTCGCGCAAGCGCATTTTATGGGTAAGATCAGTGCCCCAGAGAGAACAAAATCTTCCCCGGGGAAGGAGAGTGGTACCCCACACCCCACCACCATCATTCACAATTTCAGTTACCAAGTTCCCCCCCCCCATACTAAGGACAGGGGTGCCGTGCAAAATATGCCAGCACAACTATTTTTAATAATGGCGGCTATTTGCAGCACAAAAGGCCCCTTGGCTGTGCCAAAAGCTCCTTTAAATAGCGAGTCCCATTGGTCTATTCAAGTGCTGATTTACATACCGCGGAGAATGTAGAAACTTCACGTTGAATATCAAGTGTCTCTGTCAACCAAAAACCAGTTGGCAAGGAAGAAAACAGCGGATCTGAAAATGCGAATGTAACTCAAAGAATACAAAAACGATTTGATTTACCAAAGCGTGGTCATCCATCCCAGAGTTTTCAGGTATAAAAATGTGGTATATCTGTACTAAAACTTTAAAGAGGACCAGAATAATCCTAGTCTGAGAATTCATTCTTAGCACAGAGCTCCTGCACTTGAAATCCAAAAATCAAAAGAAACGGCATGACCTGGCAGGCATCTCCGGGTTTTCTCCTTAGTTCCGTAAATTTTATAATACCATGGGATTTGTGCACAACGAGAACCTGAGTTTAAGGCCAAGTTCTTTTCCCTTTTCCATGACAAGATGAGGACCCTGGTTGCAAAAGCGGGTGGAGCTTGGGATTTCTAGGAGAGATGGAATTTCACAGAATGGGGACATCATTGCCTGTGGCTCCAATGGGCTAGTGGTTCCTGGCAGAACTCTGATTGGTACAGAGAACAGAGCCTATTCCAGTAGCTGGTTAATCCTGAGGGTCTGAGGTTCCTACAAACAACAAATGTTTTTTGAACGCCTACTACGTGCCATGCACTGTCCTAGGTGCCAGAACAGAGCAGTGGAAAAAAACAGACAAATTCCTTGCCCTCTAGAGTTTACATTGTCCTGGGGGCCAGGGGGCAGGCAGGGGGGACAGACCACAAAGCATGTAAAGGAGTAAACTCTGCTGGAGGTCAGTTGATGGTAAGTGCTACGGAGGAAAGAAACGCAGGGGCAGGGAGCCAGGAAAGCAGAGATGTCTGGGAACTGAACCCTGGGGTGCTCCAGTTAGGGGAGATGAGAAGGAACTGGCAAAGGAGACTGAAGAGGAGCAGCCAGAGAGAAGATCAGGAGAGCCTGGGATGCTCAAGAGAAGGGTATTGAGGAGGAGGAAGTGGGCAGCTGCGTCCAGTGCTGGTCGGATATGACCACAGTGAGCGCTGGGAGCTGGCGCTCGGGTTTGCCACGAGGAGCCCGTGGGTGACCTTGCTGAAAGCCGCGGCGTGCAGTGATGGGGCCAGGAGTCTGATTGGCCTGAGCCCCAAAGAGAATGGAAGGAGGGGAGTTGCAGCCACAAGGACAGACAGAGGAGCCGAGGAGGTGGGCAGAAGCTGGTGGCCCTCATCCCACTGTTCCCCTGCTCTACCCTCCAGCCGATCAACCATCTTCGTGCGTCTCCACACCAACGGGAATCAGGAGCTGCAGTACCAGCCTGGGGACCACCTGGGCGTCTTCCCCGGCAACCACGAGGACCTCGTGAATGCCCTGATCGAGCGGCTGGAGGACTCACCCCCGGTCAACCAGCTGGTGAAGGTGGAGCTGCTAGAGGAGCGAAACACGGCTTTGGGTAACTATGGCCGGGCTACACCCAAGGGTGCTTCCCTTCTCCAGGGGGTCCCAAAGGCAGTGGGTATCTGGGGAAGAGGAGACTTGTCTTCTCAATCACCATTCCAGGTAGGAGAGTGGGTCTCTGTCACCCCCAGCTTACGAGACCGAAGACTCCTCCTTTCTCATGGTTGAATAACTTTGGCCCAACTGGCTAAGCAAATGAATGTCCATGAAGCCAGGACATTGATGGTTCATCTTCGAGCCAAAGGGGCTTCTACCTTCCTTCATCAGCTAGACACTGATCTTAGCAGAGGCTACTCGTCTAACTTCCTTCATCACCCCTGCCTCACTGCCACCAAGTAAATAGCAGCTGGAGTCCGCCCATGCCTCCTCTTAGGATCCAAAGGCACCCTATGAAGCCCAGTGGTCCATTGGGATTGAACCATATTTCTGACCAAATTAGATCAAGTCCCAGCCTGTTTCAGGGACCATCCTTGACCTTCCTATTAAATAACTTTCCAAGGTAAATGGGTCTCCGTGCTTCATCTCAGTAGCCGCAGGTGAGCTCAGAACTCAGGTACAAGGAACTGCAGTGACCATACATGGTAGCCCCGGCTACAGTGACACATCCCCTCTGCAAGGAAGCTAGGACACAAAGTCAGGGCAGAATGTGAAAACAGTTTGTAGCCAAAGCCTTATTGAAAATCCCTTAGGAAGGTACCAGAGACATACCTTCGCTTAATAAATCCAACCCAGACAGTTCTTTCTCCATGTTGGAACAGTACTTCTTATCTTGAAGTAGAGGCTTGTGTGTAGGGGCTGTACTGGAGTAAAGTAAATAGAAGCAGTATTGCATAGTAGTTAAAACATGGTCTGGAGCAATACCGTCTGACTTTATGCATTTGTGCTGTGTGACCTTGGGCAAATTCCTTAACCTTTCTGTGCTTCCATTTTTCTCAACTGCAAAATGGAGATAATAATAGCACCCACCACATAGGATTGTGATGAGGATTAAATGAGTTAATAATATCGATTGATTTTGGACAAGCTCCTTGCATACAGGAGGTGATCACAGGGTCCCCAGGACCCTGGGTATAGATGAAGGACATGGGAGGTGGACAGCCGAGGGGTTACTTGGCTCTGGGGCAGTCCGGCTCTCCAGACCCCATCCTCAGTCCCAGAAGCAGGTCTGGCCTCCCTAACTTGGACCTAAGCCCTCGGAGCCCAGACTCCCCGACCCGTCTCTCACCTTCTCTGTGCCTCCACAGGGGTTATCAGTAACTGGACCGATGAGCATCGCCTCCCACCCTGCACCATCTTCCAGGCCTTCAAGTACTACCTGGATATCACCACGCCTCCAACGCCGCTGCAGCTGCAGCAGTTTGCCTCTCTGGCCACCAGTGAGAAAGAGAAGCAGCGTCTGCTGGTCCTCAGCAAGGTGGGTCCCTGGCCACATACATACAACCTTACCTCCTCCTCGTTGGAGAATTGTATAGTTATTGCAACAGTTGTCCAGCAGATGGCAGTCTTGAGCGAGGGCTGCCATAGTCTAGTTTGCAGGTCACCACACTGGCTAGTCCATTTTGGCTAATCTTGCCCATCTCCCTTCCTTCTAACTAAGGTCTAACAGAACGAGAGGGCGACCCCGTTGAATCTCAGAGTTCTCTGGCTACAGTCGAAATTGCTGTTCTAACTCTTTTTCCTCCTGCCTTTGGAACCCTTGAGCCTCCATTAGTTCCATCAGAGCCCATGCTTAGAAGAAAAAGAACTTGAGAGAATCCCCCAGTGCCCTGTTTTAAAAATCAGCTTTTTCAGTGCTGAAGAGATATAGGTATGACTTCAAGATAGAAGAGGCCCCTGATGGTAAGGTAAACCAAAAAGCACAGCTTCTACCTCCCTTGCTTAGAAACAAAGCTGCAAAAAAATCCTAGCTGGGGGGCTTCCCTGGTGGTGCAGTGGTTGAGAGTCCGCCTGCCGATGCAGGGGACACGGGTTCGTGCCCCGGTCCGGGAGGATCCCACATGCCGCGGAGCGGCTGGGCCCGTGAGCCATGGCCGCTGAGCCTGCACGTCCGGAGCCTGTGCTCCGCAACGGGAGAGGCCACAACAGTGAGAGGCCCGCATACCGCAAAAAAAAAAAAAAAAAAAAAATCCTAGCTGGGAGGACCACTCAGATTTCTCGCAGTGGGGCTCCTCCCCAGTAAGCAAGCCACCAGAAGATGATGGTTTCACTTTCTTCTGCTGTGCAGGAGAGGGCATCAAATGGTGGCACAGGAAGTGCTGTTTTTAATTCAGGGAGTGCATCTTACTTAGAAATATGAAAATAAGCACCAGGAAAAAAAACACTTAAAAGAACTGTACATGGTTACCTCTAGGGAGTTGGAGGGCGTTAACTTTAATCGTAAGTTTTGAAGAGTTATTTAACTTTTTAAACTCTGTACACACATAACTTTGCTTTAAAATTTTAAGTAACGGAAGGGGGATAATCTGAAGAGGGAGCAGAGCTTGCACTCTTTGCACAGGATTATTTAAAGTAAAATTTGATGTAGCTGTATGTATTAATCCGCTTCTTCCAAAAAGCGCAAACTCCATTAAAAGAGCGGGGATGTTTTTTATTAGGGGAAACACCTGAGTGAGAGAAGATGGAACAGAGTCAGATAAGACTGAGAGAACCATCAGACCTCAAAACAAGCCTGACCCCGAGTGAAGGAGAGGGCAGAAAGTTTGAATGGAAGCATATAGGATCAGATCCATGTCAGTTTTCAGGGGGGTGTCGGTTTCAGTGAGCAGCTGCTGGGGCTTTTGGCCAATTGAGCCCCAGCAGCTCGAAGTCAATGAGGCTGGGGGTCTGGAAAGCACATTCTCCAGAATGCCATACCCTATCAGTAGAGCAAGGATGGGCTTTAGGAACATGGGGAAAAGCTTGGTTATACAATGTACTGGTAATAGGCTTTACCCCTCCTTAAAATCTGAGCCTCCTATAAGCTAAGGGCAGCTTCTAAGATGTAGGAAAAATAACTCCAGAGCCCCAGAGAGTTCCTGTGCTCCCTAGTAACACCTGGGCTTTGCTGTCAACATGCCCCTGAACATGGTCCTCCACACCCCAACCTGTTCCTTCGGGGCTGTCTTTTACCATCTTGAATGTGACCCATACGCTCCGAGGATACACCTCCAGCCTTGCAGACCCACAAATCTCACGCCTGCAAGTCATGACTCCCTTCACAGTGCATTTCTCTTGACCTTCGCAAATGGCAGGAGAGTCTAATACTAGGAGCACAGATTCTGGGGCCAGACTGCCTAGAACAGGGGTCGGCAAACTTTTTCTGTAGGAGGCCAGGTAGTAAATATTTTAGACTCATGCTCTATGTATCTCTGTTGCAACCATTCAACTCTGCCATTGTAGCACAACAGCATAGACAATCCATAAATGAGTGGGCGTGGCTGGGTTCCAATCAAACTTTATTTGTGGACACCAAAATTTGAATTTCATGTCATAGCCTAGGGTCATGAAATAGTATTGTTCTTTTGATTCCCCCCTTGTACCCCCAACCATTTAAACATGTAAAAACAACTCTTAGCTCACGGGCCACACGAGCAGGTGGTGAGCCAGATCTGGTTTTCGGGCTGAAGTCTGCCACCACCTTGTAGCCATTGGACCTCTATATCCCTCAGTTTCCCCATCAATAAAATAGGGATAACAATCAGACTTATAAGGTCCTTGCAAAAATGAAAACCTGGCCCAGAGTAATTCCTAGGCACGAGTTAACTGTTATTATTTGTTAATTTGCCTTCTTCCCTGGACCTCCTCAAGCGTTCCTTGGAAGTTTGCTCCAGGGTCTGGCTGCGAGTTCTTTTCTGCCCCTCTCCTTGGTGCAGGGTTTGCAGGAGTACGAGGAATGGAAATGGGGCAGGAACCCGAACATCGTGGAGGTGCTGGAGGAGTTCCCATCCATCCAGATGCCCGCCACCCTGCTCCTGACCCAGCTGTCGCTGCTGCAACCTCGCTACTATTCCATCAGCTCCTCCCCGGACATGTACCCCGACGAGGTGCACCTCACCGTGGCCGTTGTCTCCTACCGCACCCAAGGTGGGCAGAGGCTCTGGGAGAAACCCCCGGGTCTGCGTTTCCCCCCCTCCAGGGGCCTCTGCACACCTGCCTAAGCTTCTGCCACGTCCCCAAATCCTGGGGAGGTGACCCACCCCGCAAGACCAGGAAACTGGGAAAAGAAGTAGAGCAGCAAACCGTCCCCTTAGGCAGAGCCAGCTCTGTGCAGAATTAGGAAGGAAATGAGATGTGCATTTGGAGGCCTCTCCAAAAGCCTGAGACCTCCTTCTACTCCCTTCCTCCCCTCATACCCCCAAGGCAGCAGCTAGAACAAGCCACCACCACCCCTTTCCTCCGAGGGGGGAGCCATCTGCTGCCTGATGTCCAGCGGGCTGTAGAGAGGTGGACATGGGACGATATAGCCGGATAACCTGACCTCTGCACCCGTGTTTTCCTCCTTGGTTATAGCAATTAAAATGCATGGTGCCTGGGAATTCCCAGGCCGTCCAGTGGCTAGGACTTGGTGCTCTCACTGCTGGGGCCCGGGTTCAATACCTGACTGGGGAACTAAGATCCTGCAAGCTGTGCAGTGTGGCCAAAAAAAAACACAAACAAAGAAACAAACAAAAAATGCATGGTGCCTGAAAGAGCTCTGAGACCGGGGTCCTGACAGGCCACCGAGAGCACATCGATCAAGGCCCTTTCAGTGGGCACGATTGGAATACAAGCCACCCCTAACCACCAGTTTCACGGCCATGAGCCCACCCCAGCTTTACCATTTCCTCTTCCCCGTCAGAGGAAGGGATCTACACAGGGAACTCCAAGGCAGAAACTTGGTGTCGGGGCTGCGAGCCTTCTGCACTGGAGGATGGGGGGAAGCCGGGGACGGGGGAGCTTGAGGGACAGTAAATGAGCCAGATCACCTCGGTTATCCTGTTAGATGGAGAAGGACCAATTCACCACGGCGTGTGCTCCTCCTGGCTCAATCGGATCCAGGCTGACGAAGTGGTGCCCTGTTTCGTGAGAGGGTGAGTGGCACATGGAAAGAAGCAGCCATCCCAGATCTGCATCCTCATGTCCTGAGGTGGGGCGGGTGGACCAGCCTGAAGGGTTCTAGAGAGATGGCTGAGTCCGAGGGGATTGAGATCAACGTTCAGCATCGCTCCAAGCTGTTAAGGAAACAGGATCGTGGGGGCAGAGCAACATAGCAGAAGCTAAGCAAGTCCTCTAGTCAAGTTCAGGTCAGTGCATCAGGTATTTATCAAGTGCATGTCCTATGCTAGATGGGGCTACAGTAGACGACCAGGCAAAATGCAGTTTCAGCCTTCATGGAATTTGCAGACTAGTGAAACTTCTCTCCACAGCCTGCTGGCCACCCCATGTGTTCCCAGTTTCTTAGAGACCGGGAGGATTTAATTCCCTTCCCTGTCAACCATCTTCCCCTTCCAAACTCAGTTTTAAAGGATATTTCTGCCCATAGCTAACAATACCGTATTGTGCTCTTTAAAGTGTGTTAAGAGGATAGGTTTCACGTTAAACACATTTTTAATCGGAGACGTGTTACGGCCAGAGGTGTTAGTTTGTGTAAAAATCCCCTGGTCAATATGTGTTAAGTGTTCCTACCTCAATCAGTCAATCAAATAAAATAATATAGCTTTAAAAACATAAAAATAAAAAAATAAGGGATATGTCTGAGCTTAGATCCACTGTAGTTACCTTCTTTATCAACTGATAACTTCCCTACCTAAACGGTGGGCTTGGCCAGCCATTTGTCTCAGCCGTTAAGGGTAGAATGGTCATGATACGGTCCACATACCATCAGCATCAGAATCCCGTGGGGCGCTTCAAAAATGCCGAGTCCTGAGCCTAGACTTACTGCATTGCCCAGGAATCTACACCCTCTTTGAACGTCCCCACATGATTCTTTTGTACATTGAAGTTTGCAACTCCCTGATTTGGGAAGATCTCATGGATGGTTAATTCAGTGGTTCTCAACCTGGGGTGATTTTGCCCCCCCAGGGGCCCTTGGCAATGTCTGGGGATATTTTTGGTTGTCACAGCTGGAGGGTGCTCCTGGCGTCTAATAGATAGAGGCCTGGGTACTACGCAGCATCCTGCAATGCACAGGACAGCCCTCATCACCGAGAGGTATGCTGCCCCCACTGTCAGGAGTGCTGAGGCAGGGAAACCCTGGGTTAAATCAACCCCACACCCTTTGTGGCTTAGCTCAGCAATGGGGATAGTTGGGAAATGGAGTGATAGCCAGACCCTGAGGACCCAAATTAATGGGACCTCCCACCCTGATAAGGGCCGCCTGACCCCAGCTGAAGAGCTTTAAGCCCTGTTGTAGTTCTACCCAAGACGGCCATCTGGTTTACCTAGGACCCAACAGTTCTTGATCAGATTTGAACTCAGCAAGGCTTCTGACTCTCTCTTCCTTGCCCAGAGCGCCCAGCTTCCACCTGCCCCGAAATCCCCAAGTGCCCTGTATCCTGGTCGGCCCGGGCACAGGCATTGCCCCTTTCCGAAGCTTCTGGCAGCAACGGCAATTCGATATCCAGCACAAAGGTGAGTCACGGTCTAGCAGGCACCCTACCCCCTGGACCTGGGGAGGCCCGCCTGTGTCCCAGCATCCCGGAGGCATGGTGATGTTTTCTCTGCTTTGTGTCACTACCCGGGACGGAGGGGGAGCGTAGTAGTGACCAGACCCATGGGTGAAGTTTACGGTGTAATTCAAAGGACCTGTCCAAACAAATCGTCCACACAGCTTGTTCCGAGGCCCGAATTCCAACCCCAGAAGACATTTCTTGGACTGTTAAGATAAGAACCCCATCTTAAAATGTAAGCAGCCCTAGAAGGGGTAAGCGTTAAGCCTTATCCAATGGCTGTGTGCTCACGGGATGGTCCCAAAGACTGTCATTCAGGAGCAGGGTTTGCTGTGTGAGAAACACAACAGATCAGCTTTGGGAGGAGAGAGAGAAAGAAACCCACATTTCTGACATGCATTTAACAGGGATTTACTGAGCATCTCATGAATGCCAAACACTATCGTAGGCATAGAGGCGCAGCAAGAACAAGACAGAGAAACAACTTAAAAAAAAAACTTGCTCCGGTGGAACTGTCATTCTAGTGGAATAGCTACCATTTACAAAGTACAGTTGACCCTTGAACGACATGGGTTTGAACTGCATGGTCCACTTATATGCAAGCTTTTTTCATTAAATACATATGTATGGTACTACACCATCCGAGGCTGGTTGAGAATCCGTGGATGTGGAACCTTGGATACAGAGGAATCGCGGATACAGGGAGCCAACTCTATAGGACTCGAGCATCAGTGGATTTTGGTATCCAGGGCCGGTCCTGGAACTGATGCCCTAGGATACCGAGGGACAACTGTATTCACTGTGTACCAGGCACAGGTCTAATGTTTTACATTTTCTTCTTACAATAACCCTATGAGGTTAGACGCTATTATCATTTCCACTTTGTACTTGGGGACACGGAGACATAGAAGTTATGTATGTTCCTCAGCATCACACAGAAGCTGGAATCTGAATCCAGGCAGTCTAGTTTCAGAGTTTGGGGGTTTAGCAGTACCCAGGGGTGGGGGCTTTCCCAGAGGAAAGACTGAGACCCAGAGAAGAGAGGTCTGCTGAAGTCTGAACACACTTCACCTACTTCCCTCAGCGTGTGCGCATGTGCGTGTGTGTGTATGCGAGTACATATACCGCCTGCCCCAGGGTCTGTGCACCCCTACCCCTGTAGCACGTGCTAAGGTTCTGAGCACCCCTGCCACCACCAGCCACCCCCGAAATCAGGCATCAGAGCTGTCGGTGACAGGAGGTCTTCCCGGTCCCCAGGAATGAGTCCCTGCCCCATGGTCCTGGTCTTCGGGTGCCGGCAGTCCAAAATAGACCACATCTACAGGGAGGAGACCCTACAGGCCAAGAGCAAGGGGGTCTTCAGAGAACTGTACACAGCCTACTCCCGGGAGCCAGACAAACCAAAGGTAACCCCCAGCCTGTTCATGGTCCCCCCACCCCAGCCCAGCACACACACGCGCTCGTCCACCCATGCAAATCCTGTTCCCAGAAACCCCTCAGCCTTTCTGCATTCTCCTCCGTGACATTGCTCTGAACTTCAGGAAGCCTGGAGCCTAAACATTTGACTTAAAATATTGAACAGCCCACGTTCTATGATGCCACTTCCATGAAATATCCACAACAGCAAACTCCGTAGAGACAGAAAAGCTGATGCATGGTTGCCAGGGGCTGTGGGAAGGGGGGATGGGGAGGGTACAGGGTTCCTTCTGGGGGTGATGAAAAGGTGCTGGAACCAGGTAGAGGGGATGGTTGCACAGCACCGTGAATGTGCTTGGTGCCACTGCATTGTATTATACACTTGAAAACACGCATCTATTTTACGTTATGTGTGTTTTATCACAATAAAAAGGATTTTAAAAATTAAACAGGGAATTCCCTGGCGGTCCAGTGGTTAGGACTCCGCACTCCCATTGCCGAGGGCCCAGGTTCAATCCCTGGTTGGGTAACTAAGATCCCACAAGGCATGCAGAGCAGCCACAAAAAAAAAAAATTAAACAGCCCATAAGAGGCACTCCAAGTCAGAATGGACACAGGCCGCAGGACTGGAGCATGCCCCTGCTGGATCTTGGGGTTCTCAACTGGACCCCCAGGGGTGTCCCAGGAAAGGAGCCAGGACAGCAGGGAGGGGGGCACTCAGAGGGTCTGGGCATTAGCTACTTGACCTCTGGCATGGAAGTTCATCAGTGTTTCGGTAGCAGGTACAGCTGTTGAACGTACCAGCTGAATGTCGGGCTCGCCTGGGGGGAAGCTTCCTGGACAAACCAGACGAATTCCCTGGAGGCTGCATTGTACACCCCTTGTGTCCACCTGACATTCTCTTAGCCCCCCTGTTATTCCAGCAATTCCTGCAGCAGCTGGCCTGGCCCAGGTGTAACCTGACAACCCTTTCCCCGACCCCCATTTCTTGCTGTCCGTCCTGGGGCTTCTCTGGCACCCCGGCCTAGGACGCCTGCAGTACCAGCCCCGCACCTAGAAGTGTACAGGAGTTAACACCCCCTGGGTGACCACAGGCCATCGAAGAGAGGAGCGGGTAGACGATGCCCCCCTCTACGCCCCTCCAGGGGATGGCTCTGGGGGACGTGCTGCATGATTCCAAAGAGGGTTCTCATTAGAGGTGAGCTCCAGAGTGGGGAGCAGCTCGTCGCACCCTCAGATCGGCTTTCCCTCCTCTCCTGCTTCACTCTTCCCAGTGCCCTGCATCACTGCACAAAACATAGACCTGCACGCGAGCCCCTGTGTCTGACTTGGCTCCCGGGGTAGTGGGGCCCGGGAGGGAGCTACACAGTATTGTCCTGCGGCCCAGCTCCTTCTCACTGGTCCCCCTTCTCCCTGCAGAAGTACGTGCAGGACATCCTACAGGAGCAGCTGGCAGAACCCGTGTACCGAGCCCTGAAGGAGCAAGGGGGCCACATTTACGTCTGCGGGGACGTCACCATGGCGGCCGATGTCCTCAAAGCCATGCAGCGCATCATGGCCCAGCAGGGGAAGCTCTCGGTGGAGGACGCCGGCGTGTTTATCAGCAGGCTGAGGGTGAGCGATGGCCCAGCCCCCGGGACTCCTTTCCTGGCATCCAGCTTCCTGTCTCCTCTTCCTCACCCTTTCTGTCTCAACGACTAGGGGACCCATGATGACATCCCTGCTCCCATTTTCCCATTTACGACTGGGGGTAGAGGATACAGGTGGTCCCAAACCATAGTTGAGAGAGAAGGAAGGATGGTGGGACATGCAGGTGTGTGTATTAAATATGGTAGGGAGCTATGATGTGTGAAAATAACAAGTGGGTGGACCACTGGGTAGCTAGATGGAAACCATCCGAACCCAACTTTTCCCATCCCCAGAAACAAGCTGCAGCACTGCTCTGTGCGGTTGTGCAGGTTGGGCACTGCACAAGAAGGTTTGTCCAAGGTGGGCAAGTGGGGGATGAAAGCCACCCCATGCTTGGTTTCCCAGGCAGTGCACCTTGGGAGGAGGGTTGCCTTTTCCTAATTTGCACAAAGGCTAGTAGCTGCCCAGTAAGCAAAGTCCTAACCGTGGCCCAGAAGAAGCCCTTGCTCTAATTCTGATAATAAACCCTACTAGGTTAAAAACAACAACAACAACTTTCTGGTAGAAATGCCAGAGCTCCAAGGAGAGCTGCAGAGCCCTTACCACTCTGCCTCTTTGGTATGAGTCTTGAGAGACGCTTTCATAGATTCTGCAAGACTCTACAGAATGAGGTTGAAAACCACCCCAACTTAAAACGAATCCACTCTACAGATGGGCAACTTTCTTCACAACCTTTGGGACCAAGGAGGCCGGAACTTAACTCTGCTGCATGCGTGTTCCCCAACCACTGCCTCTTCTCAGCGGGGAGGTGCCTTTTCCCCTTGCTTAATGCTCAGCGACACTGCCCTCTGGGATATTCTTAATGCCCATCCCTCAGTCCTGCCTCAGGAGCTGCAACGGCTCCAGAAACTCCCAGGTGCCACAAGTTCATCATCACTCGTGCTGTTTCTTGAGTTGTCTTTTTTTGTTTGTCTGTTTCTGGGAAAGGCTGAGCTAAGATGCTCACCGTCAGAAGAACTCCTGTGTTCAGAGAAGCCTCCACTTTGCCAACCATGGTATTCGCTGAGTGCTAAGCGGGCACTTTGTCTTTTCTCCCATCTCTGCTGGTCTCTACAGGCTGTGATGTTTACACTAAACCCAGCCATGCCCAGATCTGAACTTGCAGGAACAAGGAGGAGGGAGGAAAGGGGGAAATGGAGAAGTTTCCACTGGACCCCCCTCAGCTCTTCTATCCTCAGAATCCACAAAGCAGCAGCATGGTTCTGGATGGGAACAAAAGTGTTCTTTGCCAACTGGGCTTAGAGGCCCTGTGCCCTAGAGGGCAGAGGGTCTTGCTGAAACAGAGTCTTGGAGACCAAAGGGGTCTCTGGGGGCCCTGCGTTACACCTCGTTTCTTTTTTCTTTCTTTTTCTGGCCGTGCCGCAGGGCTTGCAGGATCTCTTAGTCCCCCAACCAGGGATTGAACCCAGGGCTACGGCAGTTAAAGCACCGAGTCCTAACCACTGGACCACCAGGGAACTCCCTACACCTCGTTTGTTAAGGAACCGTCTTCTCTAGGAATATTCCATTCCAGGGTATCAACGTGTCTGCCCTTCTCCATGCCCTTGGCTGGCATTTGAGGTCTGTTTCCTGGTTGTTTCTGTCTCCTAGGATGACAACCGGTACCATGAGGATATTTTCGGGGTCACCCTGCGCACATATGAAGTGACCAACCGCCTTAGATCTGAATCCATTGCCTTCATTGAGGAGAGCAAAAAGGGCACTGATGGGTAAGCTGTCTCCATCCCACGGGCGGGGCGGGCAGAGCCCTGACAAGCAGGGATGTCTGATTTCATTGACCATGGCTTTCCCACAGTGGGGTCCCCAGACCAGCAGCATAAGCACTTCCTGGGAACGTGTTAGAAATGCAGATTCCCAGGCTGCCCCAGCCCTGATGAACCTGAAGCTCTGGGGTCAGGGCACCGAACGGTTTGTGTTTTTATGACCCCTGGAGGGGATTCTGAGTCCCCCTCAAGTGTGGGGAGCCCAGCTTTGGGTGTTAACTTCCACCGGGGCGTCCCCAGTTGAGTGATGGCTCTCACCACTGCAAAATTTGTATTCCTATTCGCTGTTCCTAGCATTTACACCACCTCCCTCACCCACAGAGTGCCGCTAGCATTCTCACTGACACAAGTTCCGATTGATATTAATTTGTCAATTCCACTTGTCCTCTAGAAATTGCTGGAAATGGTCTGAGGTACCACAAAACTGGGACTGAGTCTCACTATTTTAACCTTACATTAATGCCATGACATGTCACCCTTGATTGTGATCTCACTCCCCCCATTCTCTGCCACAGAGCACCTCGAAACCACCACCGTGTGCCCTTTAAATTAGGTGGGAATTCAGCTCCTTCGTTTTCAGTAGCCTAGGGCACACACACTCCATTTCTTAAGCATCCCCATTTTTCTTCCCCTTATGACAACACAGCGGTCTCGGAAACATACTTTGGTGTCCAGCAGGCTGACATTATTGCCTCGAAGATCACATCTCGTCCTGGTTTGTTGTGTGGGTGAGCAAGCGTTCATTCATCTGTTCATTCATTTATTCATTCACTCAGGATGAGCCAGGTCCTGTCCAAGGCACTGGGGCTGATGAGGAAGTGAAAGAGACAAAGCCCAGAGTTCAGGTGCTTTTCTCTGGGTCTGTGTAAGGAAAGAGAGCAGCCTTTGCCCCTCTGGCACTAACTCCCTCCCCACTTCTCCTCCTACAGGGTTTTCAGCTCCTAACTGGACCCTCTTGCCCAGGTGGATGGCAGGGTGACCACACCACTGCACTCGGCCAGGATGGCTGCAGGTTTTGTAAGCACGGACACTGCTGAACCTTTCCTTGGGGCCCGCACATGGCCCCCGCTCTGCCTCTTGTCCTGTCTCACCTCTCAGTGGTTTCCTGGCCCTCTTGGGTTTTCTCCTTGAGTTTTCCTGCTGCAGTGCAATGCCTTCATAATCCGCAGTGGCTCTTACAAAACTGTTTCCCTCTCTCTCTCTCTTTCTGACAAGGGCAAATCACCGGTGCATGAAACCACTGGAACATGGCTGTGGTTCGTGTTAGGGCGTTTTCTGGGGTTTGCCCTGGAGAGGACAAGACGGAGGAGTTTTTTGAGCTAGTCCCTCAGCCCTTCAAATGCCCCTTGTCCTTTTCTATGATGACGTTCTTGTTGTGTGTGTGTGTGAGCGTGTGTTGGGCCTGGGTCTCCCTCCGTCCTCTTGCTCATGCAGGCATGTCGCCTGCAGACCCTCAGTGCCAAGAAATGTGCCCCAGCCCCTACTGGGGCCTCACACATCCATAATTAAGGGTCTGTGCTAGCATGCCTGAAACACTTGGAAGCATCCTAACTGTCCTGGTTATATAGGGTCAGGGCATGGAGGTGGGGTGTGATGATCAAGGGGGAAATCTCCAATGAAAGGGGAAATCACGGAATTAGATGCATTTAGATGCTGGCCCCAGTTAGCGGAGCCCTTACTGGGAAATTAACCCATCTGATGGATTGGGCAAACCTGCTCCCCAACCCCACGCACCCCAGGATCAAATCAGGATCGCCTGATTTGGCACTTCCACCCATAAGACCAGAAGTAATATTGTCCAAGGGAATGAGCTGGAAATAAGAATCTTCCCGTCTTTGCCACCGGCTAACTTTGGACAACATCACTTGTCCTTAGTTTCCACTAATTGTAATGTTATGAAGCCAAAAAGTATGAATGGATCAAACTTTAAAGTTGTGTAGATTGAAAACGGTATCAAGGAAGAATATCACTGTTACTTTTTTATTCCCCCAAATGGGGCTTGCTGTTTCACCCCTGGGGACAAAGTAATGGAAGCCGCTGAAAGCAGATTCGGTTGGGGAGGGACTCCGTCATGAGGTATCTCACGACTTCCTCTACAGGACCCCAGCCAGGGTGGGGAGTACCTGCCCTCATGCATTTGGTCTTCTAAAAGGGATCCCCCCAATTTTTAACCTGATAAGATAATTCTGACAAATAAATTATCCTCAACTCAGATCAAAAACAGGCAGGAAAGTCTTTGGTAGGAATCAGGGCAGGTACAGTTTCTCCCAGGCAGACCTGAGAGAGTTCATCTTCTCAGAGGCAATGGGGTGGAAGGGTCCCTTTCTACACTTAAGTGCTAAAAATCAATGGTGAGCAGCACCCAGAGGGAGCAAAGAAGTTCCACTGACCCCCCAGGAACCGCCTTTCTGGCATTGAAAGGCAATCAGCCAGTTCTGATCTTCCGTCTTGTTTCGTTTTGTCTTGTCTGATGGAAAGACAGCTTTTTCTTTCTGTACAGCACACAGGCATTTCTTTCTTGATGCTCAGTTTGGAGGCCTGCCAAAGGGAGAGAGCGCTGGCTCTCTCTGGAAGGGCCTTAGATAGGGGGTGCCAAAGAGGTGTCCCCAGGAGGGGACAACCTTAGAGACTCTTAAAGACAAAGGGCAAACTCTATGTCGCCTCTTTCCACCCTTCCCGGCAGCCCCCACTGGCATCGCATCCCTGGCACTCGGAGTTTGCCTTCATGCCAGTTATGATTTCCCTGCCTGCCTGCCTTTGATCCTGTTTCCTCCGTGGAGTCAGGCTTCCATGGCACAGAGACCAAGCCCTTGGCATGCTTGGCCGACCCTCTCTGACCAGGAGGGAAGCCCATTCTAAACCCTTTCTTTCCTGCAAACATGATTCTGGCCAGTAGCTCTCCTCCCAGAGCCTTCCTTTCCGACCCTTTGAGCCTTTTGGAGATACCTCCTAAGATGTCACTAGCTTCCCAGGGACTGAACCACTGTGTCCAACCTGCATCATAGAGGGATTAATCAGTGCTCCCCTTTCCAAATCAAGCTTTATGCATGAATGCTTTTGCATCGCCAAATAAATACGAGCACTTATTCCATGCCAGGCACCTTCTTCATATAGCCCTGCCCTTCTAGTAGCAGGCAAACAGAGAAAAATATCATCTTGCTTTATCAGGGAGTCTAAAGAAATGATTATGTCACCAGGATTCATCTTTCTTCCCGAGAATGATTATTTTGTGTTTTTTTAAGTAAACACCTTTCAACCCTCAACAGAAGCTGCTTCATAACTCCTGGCTGGAGGACAGGAGATTGGTCTGATGTGTTTCTCTCATTTGCCAGAATCTCTGATACCAAAAACCTCGCTGTAATGAACCTATCAAGAGGCAGAGGGAGTGGAGCCGTGATTTCAGGTTCAGCTCTGATCCAGGGTGGCTAAATGCTGCCCTCTTGTGGTGGTTTGTAGTTCAGTCCCAGTAGCCTGCCAATTTTGGTGTAAGAGTAGGTGAACAAAAATAGGGTTGCCTGGGCATTTGGGGGTCGCCTTAGTTGCAGGCCTCTTATCTCTCTTGCACTCTCTTGAATTGGTCAGCAGTAGCTCCAACTCCACTTAACAAAAGTGAGTTTGGCCAGGAGGGATGAGACATTCCCTGCCACAGGAAAGCTGGAACAGTCATGTTCTCCCATTGTCACTGTGAATTCTGTTCCTGTACCTTGTGTTGCAAAAGAAGCAGAAGTCGTTAAACTCCCTGAGAGGATACAGGTTTTCCCTTGGTTTCTATGGAGTGAGACAGCCAGGTATCTTTGCTTTGGGGGAATGCTTCAGACCCACCAAAATGGAGTTTTAGAAGCAGACCTGACTCCAAATGCTAACTCTGCCCCTGTTTCTGTAGACAGCTGTGAGCTGGTGACCTAACCTTACTGAGCCTACACATCTACCTGTATCACAAGGTGGATTAAATGAGATAATGCCCATAAAATGTCCCGTTACAGTTCCTGGCCCATTATAAACTATCAAATTCTATTTCACTTAATCTATATCATTTCTTGCCTCTCCAGTATGCAGAAGGCACCGTGAAGTGTACAGAGCAAAACACATTTCCTCTCTTATAGAAGGTTAGGATCTGGGATGCAGAGACACAATTCTTAGAATCTACATGCAGGTCTGGGGTTTGAGCAATCGGTGGAATTCCACCAGCAGGTTTGGGGAAAGGAGATTGCCAGGATGTAGGAAGAGAGAGGGGAAAGACACAGACAGGGAGCATGCAGGGTAAATTGGGGCTGGCTTCAGACATGGCCCAGCTTTGGAACGCTGTGGAAGGTAGGGGTACACTGCGGAGATAGGCAGGGAACAGACAGAATTTTGTCAAGGGATTTTGACTTTATTTGGTAGGCAACACAGAGTCCTTAGGAGTGCTTTTAAAAGGGGGAAATAAGGTGATTTGGGTTATGCTTGGAAAAGAATGTTCTGGCTACAGCACAGAGCCTGGATGGCTGACCTGTTGAACTATTGGTTGGTTATTGCAGAAACCCAAGGCTTGAATGAGGGAAAGGGCAGACGTAGTGATAAAGACATTCCGGGGGTTGAATTACCAGGACCTGGACTCCGACCTGTTGTGGAGGATGAGAACAAAGGGAGAGGCAAGAGTGTTGCCTCTAGGCTGAGAAATGGGTCTCAGGAGAAAAAAAACAGGCTCCAAGTAAAGCTGAGTTTTCAGAACTGACATGATAGCCAGCTTCTCCCCGAGTCAACAGGGTGGATCCTTCCAAGGTCCAGCCACGCCTAGATGGGCAGAAAGAGAACTGACCCCAGGCCAATAGACATCGGCCTTAGAACACGGGATTTTCTTGCCAAACACACTCTCAGCAGCCCCCTGCTTTGGGCTTCCAAAAGGAGGTCAGGTTTTGCCCTAAGTCAGGTTTGCCACAGGTGAGATCCTCTGACCCAGATCATGGTGCAAACGGCTCCTGCCAGAGTGGGCAAGCTGATGTCTGGACCCCCTTACCACTACAGCACTGGCCTTTTTAATTCATGCCATTAGGAAAAGCATGGACTTAAGATTTTAAGCCGGCCATGTTTCCTTGTATATTTCCATCGCCCCTGCCCCCGATCTCCAGCATGGCACTGTGCCCACCTTACCCTCGGAAGTCTTCTGTCTGCATCGGCATGTTAATCTGAGACTGCCTGCCGGTGACAAGGAAAAAGAAATATTAATCTGGGCTTCCCTTGGGACCTGCCCACACTCCCTGTCTTCTGCCAGCCCTCTCCTGCATCCAAATGTGCCATTCGGCTCAAGAATTACAGGCCAAGAGCTGGGATGGAGGATAAAGGATCTGAGAGGCTGAGGGAGTGACCGTGCCCCCCAGGGACTTAACACAGATGGTCCCCACACACCTGAATTTGGCCTTTGGGGACTAACACCAGCCTGGCCTCTCCTCTTTCTTCCACACCCACCCCAACTTCGGTCCACCTGCCGGTCCCCGCCTGGTGGCACGGACACAGTGATGTGTCTCAGATGCAAAGACCCACGTAAACTTTCACGCCAGGAAAGCAGGGGCTGTTTGGGGGTGTGGGTGGGGTCTGTTCTCTATTAATACTTGTCAGAGCCGCATGCAGGGGAGGTGATCGGGAGTAAATACGCCTCGGTACGTTTCTGAGTTTGTTGTGTCCTAGAACGTCTGAACGGTCTGAGCAAGCGGGGCATGCGTGTCTGGTCCAGAGCAGAGCCCGTTCTTAAAGCAGGTGGTCCTGACAGGCAGGAACAGATCTGCCTGAAGATGCAGCTTCCCATAGTTTTCTAGAAAGTGACGCCAGGACATCAAAGTGCCCAGACTCGGCTTCTAGGAGACTCTGGTCCAGGGTCCATCAACCTCAGCACTGTTGGCATTTGGGGCTGGGGAATTCTTTGTGGTGAGGGCTGTCCTGGGCATTGTAGGGTGTTGAGTGGCACCCCTGGCCTCCAGCTACTAGATGTCGGTAGCAGTCCCACCCCACCCTCACAAGTCGTGACAACCAACTATGTCTTCGGACGTTGCCACATGTCCCCTGGGGGCAACAGAATCTCTACCGGTTGCCCCAGGCCTTCTCACCATCCACCTCCTGGAATAGGCAGAGCATTTCTCAGCCCAATGGTTTTCTCTCCATTGTCTGCCACCAAGAACTTGAAGGATTTCAAAAGGGAATGAAAAAGTGTGGTTCCGCCAACTCCTGCCCAAGACAGGAGGATGACAGCGCCGATTGCATAAACTACTGTGACCTTGGCATCCAGTTCTGATGAAGACCCACGGAGGCCCAGCGCCCTCCCGTGCCCCC